TAATTTTTTTCGCCCATGAATACTTATGTCAAATATTAAAGAAATAGACAGAAATAGTAATAGCTCATTTATTAGATTTAGAAGGTGGATTTCTCCGACTACTGATTTGATGTAGTTTGAAGTATTGAAATGCCGAGTTTCGATTGTCTCGAAGATGTTTACATCATTTTCATTCAGCAAATGCGATGCAAAAACTTGCATAAACAAAGGTTACACAAGTAGAAAGACACACTCATCAGTTCGAACAAACATTGAAACTTTTCAAGTACGAAGAGAAAGTAAATTACCTGCATGATTTCTCTTCTCCTCGGCCGTCAATCTGAAGCTTATTTAAATAATGAGATAAAAATGTAGTCACAACAGTGGATTAAAAGCGTAAATCTGAGCAGAAAGTAGACACAACTTACATATTTCGCTTCCCTCTCACTTAAAGCAGGTGAATTGAAAACTTTTTTACGAAAAGACGAGATTCTCAAATTACCGAGACGGCAAGATACGAGCAAAATGTTCTCCGTAGTCCCGACCACGCGAAACAGCTCAACAACTCACCGTAGCCGCAGGGCTACGCGGGAAAAATGATCAGTCACGTGGTCTTGATCATGCGCAGTAGCATGTTTATCCGTAGCCGTAGTCCGTAGTCACCGTATCTTAAACTCCCTATTAATAGGTACCAACAACAAAAAGATTGCCATTTTACTTTTGAACTACTTTATGTTGTATCTATCTGTAAACCGTACAGTTACTCGTTATCATAACTAGCACGGACTGAACGGAGTAATTTTTCATCTTCGACGTGTAAAAAGGGAGCGATGAGCTAACAGATGAAAGTTACAATAGCAGTCGCTACAGCTATAGCTCTTTGCGTGTAGAGTACTTGCAAATTGAAGACCAAAATAACACCAATCAGATAATGCACTGACAGGTAAAGGGTGGCAAAAGCGACGATTGCTTTGATTGCAAACATAAAGCTGATTTTGTTTTCTTTTTACCATCGCATTTCCTGAAGAATCGTTTGCTTACTCTCCAGGAATTGAAATCTGAAACTTTACCAGGATTGAGCAGATGGACGACTGGGCATTATGCCTGCATCATTACAAACAGTACTAATGACCTACGTAACATATTATTCATTTATAAATTCATTCATTTGTTTGTTAGACTGTAACAACGAGGGAAGAAGCCGCACGAAAGAACAGTTACTTCCCTGAAGCACAAGTCTAAATTGCACAGTGCCGCTCCTCCAGGAGAACTGAAGGGAGATTCCCTTAACTTATCATCATCATCATAATCATCATCATCATCATCATCATCATCACTATCATGGAAACTTTCCTTGTTCTGCCGTATTGACTGAATACTAGCTAAACCTGCTGTACAAAGTTAATCTCGACAACATGAAGTCATAGAGGTTACTGGTCAAGACGCGCGTAAATCGATGTTCACTGATTGATAGGCTTGCTTTTTTCTCGTGGATTGTTATGTAATTTTCCGTACTTTCTACTATATGTGTACTGATATTACTTTTAACCTTGGCGCAATTAATAAATTATTAAAATCCCATCTCATATCCAAGGCGCGATCGTGGAATGATTGTTAACATTCACCTCATTAGTTGCATCATAATCCTTGCATATTAAAATATAACCCCTGGCATTTTAATTTGTCGTCCTTTTTAATTTTTCAAACAAAATTTTCTTCTCCGTAAAAGTTTCTACCGGGCTCCTTCTCTTCAAAGGAACGTTTTTAAAATATTCTTCTGAAGGTAAAGTTGATATACTTCCGTAATATACATGCGTGACTGCGTCATGACTCGAGATCACTTTACATTATTTTCTTTACCTTCACAAAACATTACTCAAGTGTGTTGCGTTGCATCGAATTATCACCAAAACAGCTGATCACGCTTTGAGAGAATCGTTTGTTGTCTTTTCTAGCTCTAGGCTTGCGTGACAAAAGATACCTGAGGATATTTATCTTTAATGTCAGCTCAACTTTGACCCAAGAATGTAGGTTCATTGATATCAATGGGCTTTGATAGCCAGTTTAAATTTTAAACCTATCCTATTAAAAATATCCTTATTGAGCAGTATTAAATGTGGCATCAACTTATTGACATATATGTTGTGGTTCAAAATTATCCTTGGTTTAAATTTTATGTTCGTTTGTTTCAAAGTCATTATCATACATTACCATACCCCAAAACAAAAGAAAATAAAATTTAAACCAAGGATAAAATTGAACCACAACATATACACTCAAAAAATGTATCAGCAACGATATTAGACTCGAAAACACCAACAACAACTGCAACAAATCTCTCATCAATTTCATGATATACCCTTACAACTTAGGGACGGACCATTAGAAAAGTTACGGGGAGGGGGTGGGGAATTTTCGAGCCGCAGGAATTTTCTTTCGTTATCAGATTCCTTGTATGAATTTTTTTTTTAGGCGTTCACATGAATTTTTTTTAGGGTTAATTGGAATCTTTTTTCATTTAATTTTTCCTGTGCGAATTTTTTTTTGAAACACTATAAGTTTTCTAATGGTCCGTCCCTTATTCTATGTCATTCTGTTTGTCTGTGACTTGAAATACCCTTCTTTAGCTAACACAAATAGAAAGACGGCCTTAGAAGGGTGCCTGTGTACGTTTGCGTCCAAACTATGTAGAAAATCTAATTAAGAGATGCTCGCGCTAGTGCTTAGCTAGTGCTTAAAATTATTAATTAAAACAAAAAGCTTTAATTTACACTGATTAATAATATATTTGCCCAAAATTCTGCAAATGTTTGAGTTTTCTGGGTGACGAATGAGTCCATAAGGAATAAGTCCTTGAAGGATAGCATCAGACCCTTTTATAACTTTGCACGAAACGAATACAGTCCGTTAAGAACAAATATTTATAGAACAAAATGCATGGGTGGTTTACATGAAGATATTCTTTTCAACGTACATCTAACGCCACACTTAACAAAATAAGGTTAATAGCACATCGTACTGAACATAGCTAGAAAACGAACGTTCTCCATCAAGAAATTACGCGTCAAGGTATGTGATCTCCTCTTTTATTATTTTTTTGACGTTTTGTTTTCCACTAAAAACATTAAAAAGAAAGATAATAAAAAAGAACTTGGAAATTTAGACAAAGAAATTGTTCTTGCCTTCTTTAAGTTTCTTTGATGATGCTTTGGTTTCATCCCTTGAAAATATATCATTAGGTTTTTTTCTACTCAAAGTTGGTGTTCTTTCAATGGTGTCAACTCCCCGCTGTGCTTTAATAGGTTTTCCTGTCCTGTTCCGTTAGAGTTTTCTTATGTTCAGTTTGCTTTCTTAAAATTTAGAAATCTGCTGTACTAGGTAGTCTGTGTTTAAATCCACCATACAGCTAATTCTGATTTTTCTTGAATACACTGGAAATTCAATGGCTTCTCGTCATTTCTAAAAGACGGCTCTTTCCTATACTTGTAATGAAAATTTTGCGCTGTCCTACCGAGCAGAAAAAAAGATCATAATCAAAATCATTATCATAATCATAATCGCAAGTAGTGATAACGTGTGAGTGCTTATTGACGACGGCTAGCTCGCTCATGGATAAGCCAAGATTAGGAAAGAAGAAACACCAAAAATGTGCATTTTTCCAACATCTTCCTTGTTCGGGAGGGTCAGATACTCATGGATGGACGTAACAATTGGACGAGAAAGAGAGACAAAACCCTTCGACCATTTTAAAACTATCGAGTCCTATTAAGCAAAGTATCTTTAATAACAGAGTTGATTATCAGAGGTATTACATTACTTATATCAGTCCCAGTGAACCAGTAAGGACTAAAATAAATAATTCACCATTTTCACATAGACCCTAATGCACCTTGTTTACCCCCCAACATTTTGCATAACCATCGTCTTGCATTTCTCTTGCAAAGACTGTAATACCCGGGAGAAATTGGAAGCAATGGTTATGGAAAATAACAAGCAAGGTGCGTTATGGTCTAGGCGAAGTAGTATAGTTAATAAGTTTTAATTGCGGCTCGGAGAATAAATGCAAAAAGATATTGTGCACAGAACGCTCTCAGAAACAACACAACAAGGGCAATAGCCGCGGCAACAACGAGGTCAAAAGCCATGCTTTACAAATAACAACAACACACAGAAACTGACACTGGAGAAAACAAAAAGTTATGTTTGTTGGTGATGTTTGTCAATATGTTTATCGATATGTTTGTCTTAAAGGTTGCATTTACTTTCTCTTAGTGATGGGAGTCCCGTACCTCATCATTTTTCTCTTGGGAGCGTGGCTACTACACGGTGGCATAATGGCACAATCGTCACTTCCAGGTAAAACCCTTAGTTGTAAAGTCAGCGTAAAGATCAGACAGATTAGTTTCCACGCTTTTTATCGAGTTTTCAGAGCCCGATGGAAGATGTGTGAATATCTCTAACCACTAGATAGGCTTTGGACAGTGGGCTTAAATATTCTTTCAGCTCGTCCGATTTCCCATTGCACAGTGGCAGAGTTTGTCCTGTACGAATAGTGTTGGTCTCCACTAGAGCGGCAAGTTGCTGGCTAGATTTCCGGGCCAGTGCCAGCGATCGTGGCCTTGAATTAAATGAGGGACGAAGCTTTTGCCAGCTTTGTCTCGCACAGGGCTCGTCCTTTGCGAGGCTCGGATGACCTGAAACATATCGTTTCGTTCTCCTTTTGAGAGGCATTGGCGCGAACGTTTAACTAATTTATCTGTAGTCGAATAAATAGACTGCAACCAAGCTCTCCATTTGGGGAATGCGCAAGCGGCAAGTGAAATAAGTTCCATCGAGCGTTCTCCGGCCTCTCGTTCCGAATTGAACAGTTTTTCTTGCACCTTATGGCGGGATTTAAAAAAAAGTTGAAAGAGACATTCTCCAATGCTTTACAAATGGGCTGTTTTGGTTGTGGCCGGGGCTAGCTGAAGTTGCACCACTGTTGATCTGCAGCATGTCTACAGCAACCTAAGGGTCTTGGAATGCAAAGCGGTGCAATCTCCGATGGACAAATTACTGCCTCGTCTGAAAGGGACTCAGCTCATGCCGTCATCTATGGCAGACTTTTCTACACAGCGCATTCAGGGGGATGGGTGGCTTCTCTATCTAATACAAATCAGTGGCTGCAGATCGATTTGGGTGAACAGACAGCCCATATTGGGTTAACAGCAACTCAAGCAAGACATGGTCAAAGCCAGTGGGTGACTAAGTACAAACTTCAGTACAGTGATCTTGGAACTTCCTTTCTTTTTTACAAGCAACAAGGTCAAAGCAACGACAAGGTATAAAACTTGTTTCGCAGTCCTCACTTTGAGCCTCCATTTTGAGCCTAATTATTTCCTGGTCACCGATTTTCATTTGAGATCGATTGCATTACTTGTATTACCAGACTTATGGCTCTGTTATCATAGAGCTGGGATGAAGATAGTTTAACTCGACTATCGTTGTGGTATTTCCACTAAATTACACCAAAATGTTGCGTTGATGTGTGACTATACCCCGACGAACTAAGAAGAATTTTGGGCAGCCTTAAGTCATCCAAATACCTAAATTTGATTTCGCCTCCCACTGTACTCTACAAGATAGGATAATGTTCAAAGCGGTGCTCTAGAATACTGTGATTTCATAAGTTTTGAACGTCGCCCAAGATGGCCGGGTTTTTATTTTGACTTCTAACAAAATCTGAATTTAATTAATTGCCAATGGCAAAACGGTCTGAAAATAAAAAAATAAACAAATCATTGACTGATTTTGATTGTATTTATGTGTACGATAAACGATTTTCCTCTAAAAATAGCTTTGCTGCACCATGTGTTACCTCTTAAGACCGCGGGAATATATCGTCATAATCAACAAGTATGAAATCCAAGGAATACACTGAAGGCTAAGTTGAAATTTTATACACCGAGGGATATATGTTTTAAACGATACGTTTCTAACAGTATGTGATTATCTTATTTAACATGTAGATATTTAATGGAAATACTGACAGCAACACAGTTGTCTATCACTTCTTGTTTCCACCGATTACTACACGATACGTGCGGTTTCGCCCACTTACTTGGAAGGCCGTCATAGCGATGAGAGTAGAGCTTGTTGGCTGCCGTCCGTCAAATGGTATTGACAAAAATAATGACTTTAATAAATTTAATTTATAAAACATGCTTACTGAACAAAGGACGATAACTAAGGTGACTCGATAGCATTTTTCAGGGGCAGTACCAAAGTTTGATGATTATCAGAGGACTGTGTTACGAAATTTGGGAACTGCCACCAAAACTGAGTGAAAGGTGAAAATAACTCTCCAAAAATGAAAAGGAAGGTATAAATAAAACAAAAGGAGCCGCCGCAAGGATGGACAAATTTGAAGAATATTGAAACGAATTGTAATAGGCTCGTTTTAGGTTACAAAGAAATCATACTTGGCTTCGACGCTGTAATAGAAACAAACCAAAAGAAATCGCATTGAGCTTCAGTGATTAATAAATCATTCATTTTCTTTTATTCCCCTTGGCCTGGGAGCCAAGTATTTTTGGATAAGTCTTGACTGGTCTATTAAACGAATGTCAAACCTTTTATCTTTGTCTAAAACTCCCAGTGTTGTTGCAGCCTTCAAATTGTCCCGTCGAGAACCAATCAGGCCGCAAAAAAAAAAATGCGAGGAGTGAATTCACATCGTTTAATTGCTAACACACCTGGGGTAAAACTTGACTTGGGTGTATGACCAGTCAGCCGTAAAGTAAATTTTGAACTCACAAGGGATCGTTATTTGTTTTGCAGATCAGGAGAGTTCCTCTCCAGTTACCCAGGCTTATGACGGTCTCTGCCGCAGTCTCAAGTTTACCACACCAGTCAAAGGGTCCATTTTCGATGGCCACGTGATCAAAAACATTTCTTTAAGCGGGGGAATGCATGAAGTCACTTGTAGAGATCGATGTATCATGGAACCTGTGTGTCGTTTAACATCGGTCTTCCAACCAACGACACAGTTATTTGTCAACTGAGTGACTCAGATCACACCCTCCACCCCAGTGATCTGAAACTACAGGCGGGTTTTACCTATAGGGGCGCTGAGGTAAAAACTTATCAACATGGCAAAAATTCATATACATACATTGCAATTTACAACATTCAGCCATCATTGATCACTTATGAAAACCCACTTTAATCATCACTTCCTTCCGACTAGGATCGCCACTGTTATCATAAACTGCCACTAAGACGACGATTTATTTACTGAAACCTCCCTTGACTCTAAGAAACAGGTATTTTAAAAAGCAATCTGATAAACAGGAAAATGCCATAGACTTGCCAGGTAAACGTTAAAGAGTTTGCAGAAGTTAGGTGAGAAAAGGCCCCTAGTGAATCCTGAGAACAAATTTCTGTCTCACACGTCAAGTTATTCTCGGAATAGAAAAGGGAAACGTAATAACAAGCAACAAATATAGGTTCCTTGCATTTGTATGAAGTTTATTACCAGCAGGCATTCCATTCTTATCAGAACCCATGTTCCAGCAACCCATGCTTCTATAATGGAACTTGCCTCAATGGATTCACACCTAAAAAGTATCTTTGTGTATGCCCAGCTGGTACATATGGAGAACAGTGTGAGAAAGGTATAGTCATAATATCAAGCCATACTCGCAAACGAAAATGACATTGCTGAATATAAAGTTTCAAACTAGAAGACAAATACAAGGAACAAAATTAAATTTTCTACTAAAAACAGTTGAGTTAGTGACCAGAACGGCAATGAGAGAGGCCCGCATTATCTCTTATGAGCTGTTACTTCAAATGAAGGGTATTTTCATAGATACACATTGAGAACGTTTTTACCAACGTGTAGCACGCAACGGTTAGTAAATATTTATTACCTCACCTATGACAGTTCGCCCAGAAGTAAGCAATTTATAGTGGACGGGAGATGGCGAAGCGTTAAATAACTGTAACGTAGCGTTTCCCCACCTCATTCAAAAAGAAAAAAATGATGAGAAAAAACGGCTGATCGTATTCGTTTTATTACATGGACAGCGTCGTATTCGTTTTTTCATGGACAGGGATCTAAGCACTCTTTGAATCAATGTGACCACTATACATCAACAACTGAGATGCGTATTTTTTGCATGCGCTTCCCGGCCATCGTCGGCCTCGGTTGTTAACATTCTCCTCGGACTGCATAATTATCAACATCAGTCATACTCAGCCTCATTCTATAATTGTTAAACAGCAATGCCATCCGCTTAATGTAAAACATTCTTGTCCTTAGTTGCTACAAGTTGCAAGGAACTCTACGACAAAAACATGTAAGTAATTACAACTAAAAATCTGGATTTCCTGCTTTGGCAAATCTATACAAGGCAAAACATATTATACCATATTTCCTGTGTTACAGGGATTCAAGCTAGAAAATTTAGCGCGAATATATAGGTCTTATTATTCAGCGAATAAAAACATCACTCTTGTGCTTATATACATGTATAGCATGCAAACATGTCAATATTTGTTAACTTTTTTGTTAACCTTAAGCAGAGGCCGTCCTGAATAAAGTTAGTACACGCAAAAGGAAATACTCGACTTCTCCCAACTTTTTTCCCAGCCTCCAAAAGCATGGGTTTGAATCTGTATGACACAATAATAAAACATGATGTTTCTCGCAAAAGGCGCACAACCCAACAGAGAGTAGGTGTTCCCACATTCATTGCGGTAAAAAAAAACACCATACACCACCACCACCAACAACAACAGCTCCTGGTTATTGCCAATTCAGATCATGACCATTAAAAGTTTAATACCATCAACTGACGTGATGCAATTCACTTTGACTCCGAAGATGACTACCGCAAGGTTTTCGGTCACTGTCAACTACAGTCCTATTTAGGACTAAACTCACCCAAACGATCCGATGTCACCGACTTATGAAACAGCAACTCTGTGTAGACCTATTTGTCAGGGTTACCCGACTAGAGGAGTTTAAAAGTCCTTTCATTTTTCCAATACATGCTGATTTCTGGTATTTCCTTATTACGAAATTAATCTCGCAAAGAATTTTTTGCATTCACGCTCATTTCTTCTCGAACTCAGGATTTCTGGTGATAAAGCCTACTTACTGAATTTGGATTCAGTCGTCCTTCCTGTTTACTGTCACATGGCCACTGACCTTGGATCGTGTAGACGTGGTGGATGGACGCTGGTCATGAAGATTGACGGTACTAAGGTACATTGATACTATTACCCTAAAATTAAGCGGACACCAAGCTGCGTTCCGAAACGAACGTCTGATATTTCCCTTTAAAACGAACCCCTATCCAGCGGACACCTCTACTGAGAGAACGCGGACACTAAAATAAGTTGTATTTGGCTAATTTCTATTGTTAAACACCTTATTACCCTAATTACTATTCTCAGTGCTTAACCCTGATCAATGCATCGTTGCTTAGCCTTAATAACTATTTTCAGCGCTTTAAACCCTAAAAACCAAGGTCAGTTCTTAAACCTGGTACTTTGTGCAGGCATTATAAGGTGTCGACACTAAGAGTAGATAAGAAAACACTTTGCAGTCCCCTCAGAATCGATTTCTTATGGCTGTAACACAAACATAAAAATCCAGGAATTTCGTCATTGCGCTCACAGTTTTGAGTATAATGATGATGCCGGAAATGGTATTTAGTTATCCACAACTACTTGCTTTTTTTTGTTTTATTACGTTATTTATGGATTTTTTACTGTTTATTTGTCCACAACGTTTTGTTGAAGTAAACTGACAAAGATTGTAACTCTTCAAAAAGCCATGACAGGACAATTAGGATAGCAGCCTGAATGAGCGCCACGTTCTATTCAAAATGGATTCGCAATAGAAATAAAAACTGACTGCCATTTGATTGTTAATAGTCGCTCAGAAATCTTTTTCCAATTTTTTTTTTTTTAATTTTTTTGCTTTTCTTAGCAGTTTCCTAATGACTCTACCCTGGTGAAGAGAAATAAGGCTGAATACAGCACAAACAATAACATGACTAGGATTTAGTTCATATTTCTGTTCGTTTTCTTAGAATACCTTTCACTATGATTCTTCTTACTGGAGCAATAAGACTGGATACAGCCTCAACAACGGGGCTACCGGGTTTTCAGGTTTCCTCGAGACAAAGCTACCCAGCTACTGGAACTCATCCGTCACTAAGATCTGTCCCGGAATGAGAATCAAAACAAGCTCACAGATAGCCTTTATTGTCATGAACAAGGAGGCCAGATCACTATACTCGCTTATTGCTGACGGACAATACAGCGCGACTTCAATGGGTCGTAACCAGTGGAAGGCGCTGATGGGGGTTGACGCTACCTTGCAAACTTTTTGCGACTACGAAGGGTTCAATGTAGTAAGCTCTGACAGCGCAGGTTCACGCGCCAGGATCGGTATCGTGAATAACGACAATGATTTGTGCAACACGTGCGACTCCAGAATTGGGTTTGGTACAGGAGGGTATATTGATGACACAAACACGTGCGGGAACGTTGGGCCTGGCTCATCAGATAACGGAGGCAAAAATGTAAAGACCATGGGATACATTTTTGTACAGTAAAAGTAACCAATCGATCAAACAGTTAATAATTAACAATTCTATCAGTTTATTATTCATTCATTCACTTTTGTATTTCAAAACAAACGCGCCGTTGAAGCCTCTGAGCTAAATTCGTTCCCTTTTAACAATTGACGGATTACGTTCAATGTATAAGGCCAGTGTTGACTACACTGCAACGACTCACTTACTGCGCTTTCAAGGACAATTAAATAGAAATACAAATGTCAGCCTTCTCGAATTCTAAGGACTGGATATTTATTTGCTACTTCACACTGGAAGCCAACGTCAGTGAAAAAACAAATAAAAACATTCAAGAGACAATAACCACACTATTTTAACACCACCAAACCTCGTACTGGCTAAAATTAACTGTTAAAGGTGTTGTTGTGTTATACGCTGTATAAAAAATAAACATCACCTTCTAACCAGCAAACAAAGGAATTCACTGAACCTTTTTTTTTTTTCTGTAGAAAACGAGGTAACCCACAGAATGAAACCTACGGGATCATTTTCTGCTTCTTCACTTGTAAACGAGAAAAACGATTTTAGTTTATTGGCTCTTGGGGTCTATAAATACTTATTTCTCTTCCAACTTTTGTAGGTTTCAGTGTGGATTTGTAAGTATACAAAATTCCAATCAACAATCTTTTGAGCCTGCGATCAGGTTCTACTCTTCGTAACGCACGGCAATTAAATTCCGGAAGAGCGCGTCCTGAATTCAGCCTGATCGCAGGTTGACGTTGTCTTTGTTACTTAGCTTTCTTGAGCCAATTAGTTTCGTCAATGAACCTTTATACTGCGATTCGTATTCTCCGTCCAGTAGTCCAGTTCCAACTCTTCAATAATTATGGTCTATTTACTCTTACTGGTTTTCTTCCTTAACCACCTAAAGGACATAAGCATTATCGAATTAAACTCCTCTCTTAAACGAGTTTTGAAGAGCGGGATTGCATGATGAACGGTAGCATTATCCACACTCCAGATGCCTCATTTTTAGGGGTGTCTTTTTCAGAAATGTTAAGAAAGATAAACTTAACGGTAACAGAAAGACAAACTTAACGGTAACTGTTGTCAACAATTGAATAGCGCGAAAAAACAGCCAACATTTCGCGACGCCACTGATGACGTGTTGCTATCCAGATCTAGGAAGTGTTTCTGTTTGGTTGAAGAACATTTCCAAGGTAACAAGACCAATCAGCAGAACAACCAGATCTGGGTTGTGACACGTCACCAGTATGGAACTTCTTCGCTCCTCACCCATTCACTTGGATGGGGTGTGGTTGGCGTACTGGGATGCTTTATGGCATTTTTTTTGGACTGTCAAGTAAAACTGACGGCGGTGCTTGTATAAAAATACGAATTTAATCCCCCAAAAGGCTGGATCAATCTGGTTGTGACTTAGGCTTTACTTGACTCCTAAAGGAGACCTAGTCTGCTACACAGCTGTTTTTAGTGACGACACTAAAAACGGCTGTGTAGCAGACTAAAGGAGACCATTCTCCAACACGATATAACAGCATGACTTGCGGTTAAAAATAATAAGTTTACGGTCCTAAAAACCAAAAGTGAGACCAAAATCTGCAATTTTCACCCTTAAGCGAGACGACCAGCATCCCCGTGGAGCCCCCAAGAATCTCCCCCGGTAAAGGGAGGAGAGAGAGAAAGGGGGGAGGGGAGGGTGAGCGTATACTTACCAATTGAACAGGAAAGGCGAATACTGTGCAAGATATAACTGGAACATCCTCTTGGGAACTGCAATCCATACTTCATTTAAACCGTTTACCATTGCTATCGTGATGAGGTTGACACATCTTTCTGTTTTGATGGTGGAGGGAGGAAATGGCTGATCTTTACGAGTCTGTCGAGTACAAGGTAATAATTATCAAAATATGTAACAGAGTTCCTGCATGCGTGACGTTACCCACTACAGTGAAAACTGGATATGAGGAAGTGTCTACAAGGGACTTTAAAACGTTTAAAAATTAAACAACTGTACGCGACACATAATGACAAATCAAGTCAGAAATACATGTAATATCAAATCAAGTACTGAAATGAAGAGCAAAGGTTTAACTTTCAGCTTGTTATCAGAGTACTCGCGTTTACTAAAAATAGACAACCAGGTATAAAAGAAACAGGGCCATTTGGCCCCAAAATAGATAGTGATGATGAACAAAACGAAAAATGCGTATGTGTAATCAAATGGTGACGAGTGAAATTATTCCCTAATTTCACTCGTCACCATTTGATTACACATACGTGTAATTTCACGAGTATACCATTTGATTACCTATTAATATCATGGGTGACGAATTACGTTAGCAATCTTGGATTTTTGACATGTTTATCCGGGATCGTATCGATCGAGAACTCCACTCCCTCAAATGTTTAGACCTTAAATTTGGCTTATAAAATTCAGAATTTTTCAGACTTTTTCGGCAAAATACCTGTTAGAATCCTTCTTGATGTTCTCTTGTGTTTTCAGGTTTTCTAAAGCGTGTTTCTGTGCCCTGACATCTTCATTCACGGCATTTTAAAACTTCGTCGCCGTCTTGACACTGAGATGTACGGAAGGGTTACCATGGCAATTTTGTAATTTCACATGTGAAATTACAAATTAACGCTGAAATTTCGCGCCAAAATTAAGGCGTAATTCGTCACTTATAATATTAATAAAGAATAACAATTCATACTACACGATGATGATGATGATGATGATGATGATGATGACGATGATCAAGTTGACGACGACGATGACGATGACGGTGACGGTGACGATGGCGATGACGGTGATGATGACGAAAACAAAATACAGTGAAACTTAAATTAAGCGGACCCCTAATTAAGCGGACACTAAGCTGGGTTCCGAAACCAACGTCTGATATTTCCCTTTACAACGAACCCCTATTCAACGGACACCTCTATTAAGCGGACGAGGACACTATTAAAATAAGTTGTATTTGGCTAATTTCTATTATTAAACATCTCTATTAAGCAAACACCGGACTGAATTGACAATAGTAGAATTGCATTACCTCCTTGAAACACGTATTGAAGTCAGTTCATGTTTTTGCATTTACAAACAAATGAAAGTTGGTAATGAAAGGTAATGAGCTTGAACTTGGATAGCTTCTTTAACAACATGCAACTTTATCACAGTACAGAGTAACTGTTGAATGTTGATCGTTAACAAACATTGCGCAATATTTACAACCTCTATTAAACGAACACCCTCCATTAAGCGGACACTTGGGAAGGTCCCGAAGGTGTCCGCTTAAGAGAGGTTTCACTGTAAGTCCATAAAAAATTACAATAATTCAAACGACAGTTTAGCAAGTCCCTACCTGTGTATTTTCCCGCAGCGCATTCCTTAAAATGTTGGAATAAACTAAACCAGGGCAAACCAAAGTGATGCCAATATTATGACTGTGAACTTCGGAGCGTAGGGAGTTGAAAAAGCCCTGCATATTAAAAAAAGAGTATAATCCCCGTTACGCCTTGGAAATTTAAATTTTGAATTTAAGGACCTAATTATCCTCTTCCCTTTTTAATACAGGGCTTTTCAGGGATAATAAAACAAATGATTCAAAAAGAACATAACATGGTTAAGAATCTGTAAAAAGTTTGAACCCAGGAGTCATTTCAAAAGTAGGTTGAATATGATCGTCAAATGGTTAAGAATCTCAACTGGTGGGAGACGAACCAGTTGGTTATTTGTCAAACGTGGCCGAGGATTTGAGCTCGGCACTACCGAGAACAAATCGAGCTTGTAGTCAGGGCCGGAATTGAACTCTGCGCCTCCGGATAACAAGTCTAACGCTCTAACCGCTCGGTTACGCTGCCACCCTCAAAGCTAATGAACCCGTTTCCTTTTAGTTGAAGATTAGGGAGCTTAAGTAACCATGACAACAACGTCTAAAACCAGTTGGTTTTATGAAAACAACAACAGCTCTGCATGTTCTGAAAGCTTTTTAGTACATTTGTTTGACGTCCACTGTACGACCATGACCTGAAACCTCCTAATGCGACGTTTTATACAGGACTTGAACAAACTACGACGAATTTTCCTTTCTCTTTTTGAACCGGGATAAAAACCTTAAATAATAATTCAACTTCAGGAAAAATCGCCTATATTTTACCAATTGAGGGGGTCCAAATAGACGCGAAAAAGTTTGAAAGGACGTAAATTGATTTTCTTTAGCGACGTTTTCACCGACATCCTCGCCGTCGTTGCTTAAGTTCCCTCATAAGTATTGACAACTGTGTGAATTGTTCCCTTCAATCGTTGACCTGTAATGAGCCTCTAAAATGCTCTGTTACATTAATTTATTGTTATCATGTGATGTAAATTGAAAGTTAAACGTTGCCTTACCTGAAGAGCATGTTTAGAAGCTCCGTAAGCTGCGGTATTTGGACCAGCGGCTGTAAAGAGGAAAGAAAGTCATTAGATATAGTACTTGTTTAGCCATTTACATGGGCAAACCGGTCGGTTCACAGTTTGGGCAAATGGCAAGCAAAATTCAAAGCTGGTAAATTTCGTCCTAGAATCGCGTTTTCCATTTGTACAAATCAGTCCCATTTCACGAAAAAAGGACGCGAGGGCCTGAAACAAAAATGGCTTTGAAGAAATGGCACACGAACTACCGTTTGGAAAAAAAAGGATTACCTTTTCAGATTTTCCGTTGCTCCAGGAAATTTTCCGCTGGAACGACGCAAAAAGACACGTTGCATTTACCACCCCATCGGATTTTCCGGTAACTTTTTGTAATTGGTGAACAACCAGTATTACATGTAGCAATGGCAATGACAAAAGAACGGGCATATCGAGAAAAGGGTAGCCTGTGAACAGGTTCTCTGTTTCCCTTCCCCAGCTCTCCTCGCGATTTTTTCACCCTTTTCCAAAACAGAGAGCCTGTTCACAGGCTAAGAAAAGGGCGGGGCTTGTATGTTAGGAGAGAAAATCGGGAGTAAATAAAGTTGCCCCAACTTCCATTTTACGCGAGCAAATTCTACAAATGAAGCAGCAAACGTTTACCACAATAATTTTTTATTAGCTACTTTTTAACTTTCCAAGGGCCGAGACTATGGACCTTACGATCCCACAACGGCCACGTCCACAAAAATCTCGCTGAAAAATAGAACTCTGCGTCCTTTCAAATCATTTCGTAGTTATCCCAAGTCGCCCAGTATCTTTAAAGAAGAGTTCAGACAGAGATGGTAAAATTTGGCCGTTCCCGTCCTCAGGAAAAAAATAAAATTTGGTCATTTCAAGTCGTAGTCGCGCAGCGACAGCAAAAAAATGTACAAAAAAAGCGTGATGCACTAGCAGAGTTGTTGTTTGCTAACCAAACCTATTGCTTTTTGACGTTGCCGACGTCGTCGTAATTTCGTAAGGTCCCTACTAACTGAAAGAGGGGACGCGGGCACCCTTCCCCAAGCACTCCCAATAACGTCCATCGACTTGTTTCTACAACCGTCACACCGTTAAATCAGTTTTTCAGTTGAGAGAATTTTATATAAGATCCGCGTCATTTAATTATTTCTCACAACCTTTTTCTCTTAATGCTCTACTGATGTTGTTATTGACGTTGGGACTTTATCTCCACTAGGCATACTCAACCCTTTCACTGCCAAATGTGGCCAAGGGCAAAATTCAACAAAAACTTCCAATTTCATTTCGTAAAATTTGGAAAAACAAATAGTACCATGTAAAATCGCAGGCAGAGAGGTTTTATTTGAATGGTCACTCCATAGGATTAATTTTGTTCACAGACTCAAAAGTTGGAGCCACCTTACAAAACTCCTTTTTTCACTCTGGCAGTGAAAGGGTTAAATAAGTAAGAATTATTGTTTGCCTTTTAATCCTATAAGTGCCAAGAGTGACAAACATCAATTTTCTCCCAACATTACCAATATGCAATCAATAGAAAAGATTACGAGAATTGATATAACTCATCACCAAAAGGGAAATGCTCTCGTTTTTCAAATTCTCTCATCTAATTCAGTAAGGAAATGCATAGAGATCAGTTGGGAGAATTTGTATGTGGATACTGGGGCTTAAAGGGTAATAAACTCACCACATTTCCCTGAAGCACTACTCACGACAACAATTTGGCCAGATTTGTTGTGCACCATGTGAGGAAGTACAGCTTTCGTTAGCGAGATTGCACCCAGTACATTAACCTTCATCACGGCCTGATCTACATCCAAACTACTGGCCACAGATGACCCCATTTGAGCAAGGCCTGCGTTGTTTACTAGAAAATCAATCTGAGGGTGATGACAAAATTTGATTAATAATGGTAGTTGAACTGAGTGGGGTGCAATTTGGCCTAAAATCTTACGCGTGATTTTAAAACCGGACAAGTGCACAGCACGAGTTTGATTTGAAATTAGAAGGATGATTTCAGAGCAAAATTGTACAACACGAAGTTCAATTACCACTTTATTACAGCCACTCTGAAGTCGCAAAATTCAGTCAGTACGATAAATAGCTTCAGTGGGATATTGACGGGAAGGGCCCTGGGTTTTGCTTCCCCTCCCTCTAAATCAGTACTAGCCTGTAGACAGGCTACCTAAGTACATGTACACTGATCGCACTTTTGTTTATAACTAACTGCCTTTTAACAATGAATTACCCACTATGTAATCACAGGCACTTTTACATTTTGATAAAAAACCTACACACAGAAGTTGTTACAACTAAAAACAAATGTCTCAAAGCTGTCTCCTTTAGGATTTGCCAAGGGTCTCAAATCACCCGGAAGTAATTAAGAGTTGAGGAAAGTGGCAAACAATTACAATTCACTGACAAGGATGAACAATCTAAAATAAATCTGATTCCTGGAGACAAACTGTATAAAAAATGAATCTCAGGTACCTTGCCAAAATGTTTGATAACTGTTTCCGGGCAGTCTTCATGGGTTGGAAAGTCAGTAACATCGAGTGGCAGAACAAGAAAATCTTCTTCAAAAGTTAATGGAAATATTTTACTTGCTACATCTACAAGAAAATGTAATAATGATTTAATAATAATAAAAACCATAAAAATCATCATCACCACCAAGAGCATGATCAAACCCACAAACCCATCATCAACAAAGAGAAGAAGGATTTTAAAAATGAGCCTATTGACTGACAGTTGTAAGCATTGCAACCTGCAAAACCACAATCATGATAATAAATTATATGATAGGTGCCGTTAAGATAATTTCTGATAAGGGACTGGCGGCCTAGAGAAATAAAATGATGGCAAGATGAATGGCACCAAGATAAGCTGAAACTGTGACACTGGTTAATATTAAGAACAGTGTAAACACATTAGTACAAAAACTGGCAGGTCAGGCATGGCTTCCTCCGCATTAAATGAAATGAATGGTTTTGACATTCACTAGGTCACATAATAGTCGACTACAAGCAATGACTCATTTTTCTTAGTCCGTCGGAGAGAGACACAAAAAATGACCATGGGTGTGCCTAAAGGCATGAGATGGGAGAAGTGCATTTATTCCTCTGGGCTGCTCCCACATTTCTCCCATATGCATCACGCAGCTCAACACTCGCCCTTACTTGCACTCTCCTCACAAAATCTGGAGAAATTAAGAGACTGATAGCAGTCTAGTTACATCAGGGACCCTGGGCCCGGTTGCATATAACCTACACCTAAGTTTCCACTTAAGTAGGTCACTTCCGAATCCGTTATGGGTACACTTATGGGTGTTGCATGGAACGCACTTAGCACTCTCATAAGTTTCTGTTTTACATGGTAACTTACGGGCTCACTGAAAGGCACACGTAACTTTGACATAGTGCTTCATTAATGACTCTTTTTTTTTTTTTTGAAGCTGGTGAGTGTAAAGGAAGTTTAACGTCGTTTCGAACTCTTTTAAGCCTCTCACAAAAATGAAATTTGCATGCAGATGTTATTTTTCGTCAATATCTACTGAAAATGATAGTTCTTCTTCTTTTTTCACAACGTCGGCTTTAAAGCTGAGCCCTGAGCTGAGATATTGACATTTACTTTAATGAAACCAATGGGAAAAATGTTATTATAGTAATATTATTTACCACATACACTGCTGCAAGTCTCGGTTTCACAATGACCAAATGCAGCCAACACAAGTAGTTGTAGACAAAGGTTTTTTTGTTTGTTTGTTTGTTTTCTTTTTCATTTACCACCTAAAAGAAACCATGTGATGTGGTCATTGATCCTTACTGTGGATGCAAAGGAGATGTGTATAGCTGATCACAGCCACAACCTCTCAATGCTCCCCACCACTCATACATTTTGCTAGAGACATCTGCAGTTTGGTTCAAAACAATTTTGTTCTCATGATGTAAATTTATGTTTACTTAATTGATCTAGTAGTCATGGGGTTCCAGACATAAGTTTGTTTGAATGTCTGTTTCTCCTCATTGATTATTGTTCGTATGAGCTTCTGCATTCTGTGCAGCTGCACAGTTGGTGCCAGCAGAAATAAAACTACTCCTTAGCTACCTTACATATTTGATCTTTGTGAGCATTTGTATGTCAACCAATCAGAGCTCCTGGCCAGATTCTGTACAGATTTAATACATCACCAGTATCAAATTTTTGGGACCAAAACGCACGGCGATTGGGGTGGGGGCGGGGGGATGAGAGAGGGATGTATTCGTAGGATAGACTGATCCAAAAGGGCTAAGACAGAGGGAAGAAGGGGTACGATGTCTACATGTATATTGATACTAACTCGAAACGACTGAGTGTTTCATTTCATACGAACCTAAACACTGATTTTTGACCCTTTCCAATTCATCTCTTCTTCTGGCTGATAGCACCAATTTACATCCACACTGAGCTAGCCTGTAAGCTAAATGCTCTCCAATCCCACTAGATGCTCCGGTTATCCAAACAACTTTTCCTCGGAGTCGAGGTTCCGGTTTCTTCGCAAACGTCGCGTAGAAATGAAGCACTGTATCGCAATCAGAAAAGTAAATTCTTGCGATGAAAATCAACAGGAACAACGGGAGAGAGTAAATAATTTCGAGGTAGAGTAGAAGAAACAGCAAAAAGCCTAACAGTAAGATCCCCAACATCGTCAGAATGATCAAGTAACTTTGCGCGAGGCGTCCAATATTTTCACACTATCCCCAGATCCCTACTGATCCGAGATCTCGAAACAGGCAACCCAACCCAATGGATGGGGTTAACTGACAACCAACAAATGGCCAAAATTTAGCTGAAAACTAACATTTGCCTTGGATTTTACTGACAACTGCCAAAGGAGCTGATTGTCCTTTAATTTTTTTTCTACAAAACCCGTTTTTAATCAACAGTTAATGAATGAGGCTGAGTATCTTCATCTTATGAAGAATTATGGAGATCGAGGAGGGTGTTATCGGCCGAGGCGGATAACACCCTCAGAGATCACCATAATTCTTCATACGATAAGAAAGCCGAATTCAATAATTGTTTTATTTTTCATTCAAAATAATTCCTTAGTTTAAAAACATAGCTAAAACATGCTTACCTCCATCGATCCATCGATGTTTAGTTCATCTTCGGTAGCGTACGTTTAGGTTTGTCGAGCTCCGCAAATATTCTCCAAATAGCAGATGTCGCACTCCGAGTTGTCTTCTTGCTGTTTTTGCTATGTTTTTAACTATTACTTCGCTTAGTTCCAGCTGTAGTTCTTACTCTTGAAACGAGTGAAGTGTCGACCATTTTTTTTTTTTACAACCAAAACACCTCAACCTCGTCCCCAGGTCTTCTCGGTTAACGGTTCATTAAACCTATAGAAGGCTGCATTTTTGACGTCATTTCCTCGTTAAACACAAAATTCTTCCAAATTTGGTCATCAGTAACTGGTTATGGTGAATTAAACGTGTGTTTTTAGCCAATCAGAATCGGGGAAATAGTTTGAATGAATAATAAGGCATTTTAATAGCATGTTCCACTCTTTTCGGCGGACAATGTGATTAAATGAGCGTTTATATGGGTATAATCTTAGCGGCAGGACGCTCAAATGTCATTTAGTTCCGGTTAACGATTTAATGCGTGTCATGTACCATCTGTTGCAGTAAAACTGACCAATGATCTCAAATTTTCTATCTCCGAGAACGCACCAGCATGTATACACTTCAACGATGGTTGCTAATAATGAGGGTGTTATAGAAGCAATTGTCAGCATTTAAGGAGACGATTCAGATACGGTCTTTAATTTCTTGGTACGTCCCAGTATTCTGAAGGATCTTTGATCCCAGCATTCTGAAATGTTGGAAATTTCCAGCAAAACCCTTTTGAACACAAGGAGAGAAATGGAGGGCCAGTTGAAACGATTTCAATAGAAAAACTGATAAAAAGCATGGTACTACTGCATCAGTTTTCGAACATAATGTGAAATTAACATTATATATACCTTTTTTAAAGTAAACTTCGGATCAAAAATAAACGAATAAGTTTCATAGTTAACTTTTAATAATCATTTAACAGCATGACAACTTACAATAACATTTCCTAAAATTTAACTGACAACTGTCAAATTGATAAAGAAATTAACTGCCCAAAACGTGGACAAAGATCCTGCTGGTTTTCATCGTTGGATCTCCTGAAAAAAAGGTCTAATCAGCTAAAATATTAAGTTAAAAAAGTTTTTATTGCAACATTCTCCAGTAATAAAATATTGTAACCCTTATCATAAATTCAGTGGCATCTGTAAACCTGAAGAATGCTGGAATGGCCAGCCGAAATATTGTTATAAAAAAGAAATACACGTTGTTATGATCAGCTTTGCAGTAGTCTTTGGACCTCTCGTTTTTTGTTTTTTTAACTGAAAAATTTCCAAAATTTTAACTGACAACTAACATTTGTACACGCCCATCCAGTTTCCTTGGGGCGGGGTTTATTATGGAGAAAGGGTTTCATAAAAAAAAATATACATAACCTTTTTTTTTTTCAATTCCCCTGGGCATTACAGCGGTCTCAAGAGAAATTGAAAACAACGGCTTATGCAAAATCTTGGGGGGTAAATAAGGTGCATTTTGTGGGAGACGTGCAAGTGGCGTATACATGCCTTCATTACTGCGCTTTTCACAAACATGCGAATTCTGAAAAATCAAAAGCCAACCAACGATTGCGTTTTTCGCTGCCGTCAATCATCTTAACGGACCTCTTAGGAAACAAACCTTTACTCTAACGGGTTCAAAAGGTCAAGGTTTGCGATTTGTGATTGGTGGATTTCGATCCGTCAGTGTGTGTTTCTGTGTTTCAAGGTTCGTTGCTTGTGATCGTAATTATGATTGACGGCAGCGAAAAACGCGATTGTGAAGGCGGCTTTTGAACTTTAGAGTTCGCATGTTTGTGAAAAGCGCTGTAATTCATCTTCATGCGTGTCCAGCTCCTCTTTGGCTGGTAGGTAATAATGTAAGGCAGTCGAAGACAGCCTTGGATTCTGAATTCCTCGCTGTGGATTCCGGATCCCTTGTCATAAGTGGTCTTGGTTTCCGGATTTCAATCGTTAGTGAGATTTCGGATTCCTAGAACTGAATCAGTTCTAGATTCTAAAGCCCAGTATTCCAGATTTACAAAGGGAAAAATTTCCCAGATTCCGGAATCCAGATTACCTTGACATGGGGCGATAGAGCGCTGCACCGGTACCAAGGGTTCGAATCCCGTACTAGCCTAAAATTTTCTCAGGCGTTCTTTTCCCAGCTGCAAAGGTGCGTCTTCAACTGTCGTCTTCATTGTCCATCCCACCGTTCTAATATTATCTTTACCATTATAATTTTATTTGTTCGGTCTATACATCTACTTGTTTTTTGCGAAATTACCATTTTAGCACCATTTCATTCTTCCCGCATCACACCGTCCAGCCGTCTGCAGATGAGTAGAGCAAATCAGTGACAAATAATATATAATGGAGACATTAATTGTATTTTATTAGAGACAAATGAGGTTTACTCAATCATAATCACGAAAGCTTTTACAGTTTTAGTCATTTCTGTTTCTTTCAAAAATATGTCTTCCTAATATTCTATATCATCTTTTCAGCCCTTTTCTTTTCATCGGTCTTCTTCTGGACAGTTCAGTGCTCTTGCGACCTCACAGATATCCTTTTTGTAACGAGCAAACTGCAAGCAGAAACAAACAAGGGAAATAGTATTATGGCATAACATGCACTCAACTTCATTTCCCCTATTTTTAGAGTGAATCAAGAGAGACAGAGTGAGATCTGGATAGGAGATTAGAGTTATCAGTTTCGTCAACTGAGTTGGCAACCTGAGGAAATAGCTGACATTTTGCAACGCCGCCACTTCTCATAAATTGGGGAAGACACTACCCATACGTCATCAGTGTGGAATTTCTGCGCTCGTTCCAATTCCTAAGACGTCATTTCGCAGGGAAACCAGCGGTGGGGTAGCGAAGGGTCGACTGTTTTCTCAGGCCGACTGAGGTGGCTCCCTCACTGACCATCAGCTGATCCTGCGCACATCTTGCGCCACCCATTCGAAGCAAACTTGATTTGCGCATGGCCAGCGAGAGCTGATCTGCTTTTATGATCAGAACCACGTAAAATGATTATTACTGCTACCCTCTGGAATAGAAAAGGTTGGTCCTTTTCAGTACGCTATCATATTAATATAGTGGCCAAAAAATTCAAATTCAAAACCCATAAAACATCGCCATCTAAAGTCTTTAGTCAAATTTGAAAAAAAAAAATTAAAAAATACCCCTTCGATCTTTTTCACAAAATTCGAATGCAAAAGGCTGGTAATAAATTTTAAGAGAGCACTATTTGTCGTTATTTCATTTAAATTTCCTCTCATTTAGCTTTGGCTTGATCATTAAATGATATTAAATTAAATAACATTTGAGTATTTGAAAGTCATGAATAAAGTATTTAGACACAAATTGTCCAAAATTTCCACGACGATTGTTCTTTCCTTAATAAAGGAGTTCTGTTACGGCCTTTGACTAATGCCGAAAGGGAACAAGATGTCAACAGGGCAGCTTGAGAAGCAGCAAATATTCGCAATCAACAACTTCAACTATGTTTTAAGACAAAAAATTTTAAAAGAATTTTTATTAAAAGAAAAAAGACGACTGAATAAACAACAAAAACGAAGGTAACAAAAAACAAAAACAATGACATTAACTTCTAGTTAAATATAGAAATAACAAAATTATTAACTATATATAAAACAAATGGCATGGGCGTTGTCAGTATAATTCTTGCGAACTTCTTAAAAAACATCTAAGTAGTTGATGTTATATATTTTTCATTAACACACACGTAGTCTGAAAATGATGATGGATTTACTTTTTTTTTTTTATTTAACAGTGAATAATGTGCGGAGTATTTCTACCACAGCCTATTCGTAGCGGGTATTTCCATGTGTTTTATAAACTTCATTGAAATAAACTGGAAAAAAAATCGTGAAAAAAAAAAAAATGTCAAATTCAAAGAGCATGCAATTAGATGATTATTGGCTTAACTTTCGTGATTGCCAAGTCTTCCCCAAAGGCGACATCGACAGAAACGTTAGGCTTTATAAGTTTTATAGGTAGGGATTTAACATTTTTGGCAGTTCTAATGAATCTTCAGATCTCCCCAAACCTTTCAAAATAAATTGAAAGAAAACGAAGACTTGTGCCCGGACAGTACATTTCGCAAGAAAACATCAACCCGTCCTCTTTATGGGGAGTTTATAAAAATACTGATGGAAGTAATTTCTAATATCGCTCACGAGACAATCCAGTAAACTTAAGTGTGCCACGAAAAATGAAAGAAAAGAAAATAAATTTTGAAAAAAGAAAGTACATTTTTTTTTTATCATATCATTCACTCTAATCTGTGAACGCTTATTTTTTAGAGCTGTTGCAAACCGCCACTTTTCCGTTGAAATTAATTATTTTAAGGTTGCGAATCACAACCTCGGAATCCTAAATCTAAAAAAATATGAGACCTTTTCTATATTTCCTTTTTGGTTAAAAAAAAAGTGAGAAAATCAGTTTTTAAAAAGAAAAATATTGTTGGGAATATCTATTCTACCCACCTGTTTCCAGTTTAAAGAAACATGATATAATTATTACTTGTTTGGTTTGAACATTACTATATATAGCGAATCCGATCTCAACCAAATGACTGCCTAAATACAACAGCAGACAGTGCTTTGCAATGATTTATATGAGAAGAACAATACGGCTTTTTAGACTAATACATCCTGTTCGGTTGAAATTCGCAAGAAAATCCCGAGGACAAGATGTTCAGTTTTAAGGTTCAAATCGCGTCAAAAAGGTCTGGTTCAACCGGTCTCAGAAGTATAGTTAAAAGTTACTTGTAACATTTATAACAAAAGAGTGTTCTACTGGAAATTAGGGCACGAGGAAGAGGAAAAGTGTATTACCTAAACAGTTCAATAAAAATAGCTAAAACATTTTATTACCTCTGATTTCTTAGACAACACTCTGCCAGAGCCAGAGCGCCCCACATGTACGGCAAATGCTTCTGTAGATTGAAAGCTAGTCAAAATCAAGACTGCAGCAACGAGACAAAGGAAAACCAAAAAAGAGCAGAATTTCTTCATAGCGACGATGCAACGCGGTTAAGAAAGTTCCAATTTGGAGTGTTTCGAGGTCAATACGAGATCGTACGTTGTCTGCTTGAACAGTTGTGAGGGTCGCGCTTTATACATTTCTCGTTCGCGTCAGCGTTCAAATGTATTTTAATAAGGTTAAGTACGTAACTGTCAAAGATTTAATTTATACCACGAAGCTCATTGGACTCAATTTTGATTTAAATGAAAGGTTTGAGTGGTAATGAGTTTTAAATAAGTGACAATAAAATAAAAAAAGAAAAAAAAAAGATCAATAATGTTAAGACAGAGGAAAATCGCGAAACTTTTGACAGTTTTATACCGGCTAAAGATGACAGGTGCATGTACGTTATGTGGCGTTGTTCCTCTATAATATCAATATAAAAAAAGAAGCTGAATAACCTCTATTTTACAAATAAATTGTTTTGTAATAGAAGACGCGTTCAGTGGTTTGGCTAAGTGACCTACACGGAAGTGATCTATCTTTTCTACTTTTGATAGTCTTTAAACAATCGGAGAACCGGTTTATCATTGATTGATCGCGTTGCAATTTGTTATAACAGAAGAATTGAAGCAATTTTTTCATGCATTGCAGCTTTTCCTTCTTTCTTTTAATTTTTTTTCTTCACACTTTGAAAATTTAAAATGAACATTTAACCAAGATACTGCCAACTTAATTATTCAAAAGGTAACACTTTAAGACGCCATGATTCTTTTGCTTACCGCAAGTGACTCAAGCGGATCTATTCTCACAATCTTTGAAAATTTTAGTTCTTTTAATAGCCAAGAGCTTTATCGCGTCGGTTTAACTTTAGAATAGCGTCAGCAGGCGTTTGTTTTTGTTACAGTATTGCAATTATATATTTGCGTTGCTGACCGGAACAGAAGCCAAGTGCTATATGTCCAATGAAATAATGCCCGCCATCTGAGTTGTGAGATAAATTCCTTTTTCCGTCAAAATTGAAACGCAAGTGAAAAAATAGCCACGCTTTTAAACGCTCTAAAACTATAAATTTATTAATTGTTTCGCTCGCTAACCCTTAATCTTTCAGAAGATCAGTAAACATTCTGCCACGTCCTTTATTGAAAGACCTCCCTAACAATTGCAAGCGAGTTCAAACCTTTTCATATGTCAAAGTCAAAGGGCATTGTCGACTAAGTAAACCTAAGTTCAAAAAAGTTTTATATCTTAATAAAAAATAAACTTTGAATAATAGAAAATCGTCGATAACAATTTTTCAACAGTTTATTCATCTGTTTGGATATTACAGGAAAAATAGACCGCAAAAAGGAGATGACGCCTTGGAAGGACCGTACGCCGGATAAATACCACGCACAGGATGCAAAAACATCAACGAGCCGATACGACATCCGTTTTGCAGAGAATAGCTTCACATTTTTTTCTTTTTCTGTGTTCGTCCTTCGACCCAGATTAGCCTGCAGAGCTGACATTTGTTTTTTCTTGAAACGCGCCATGAAGCATAACTAGAGTTGGCTTGAGATGTCAGTTGAGACGATCATGTCAGGCCTTTCTTCCTTTTTCTTTTATTTGAAATCAAAAGAAAAAAAAGAAAAGGCTGCGACTACAATTTAGCGCAAATGCTGAGCACTGGCACGGGCCTAAAATTATGGTAAGTTTGTATTCCTTTCAGACACCATTTCTCGACATGTTAACCGGCCACCTTCAGTCCCATACACTCCACCCCAAATGGGGGCGAACCGGCTACGAAAAGTTACTGACGTTTACTCCCTTTGGTAAATACAATTGGGGTACATTGATTACTTAGTTTGTTTTTATCTTTAGGTTGAACCTGTTTCGTGGTAGGTAGAACTTAGTGGAATTTAGGTCAACACTGCAAATAAACAAGGTACACAAATTTAGTATTTTTATCAATCGAGTTATACAAAGGTAGATTGTCCATCTCATGGCGATTGAAAAGTCCTCTCAGTAAGCCCTACGATTCGCCTTATATTGTACCAAATCAGCAGATTTTGGTTTGGCTTAGTTTTTACTACCGGAAGTTCTAGCTATGCTTTAGGTGGGAGCATGGTACTGACAGTTAGTTTCCGAAGGAGCGTGATTTAATTTGTAATTTGTCTGACAAATGCTTTCAAACTTTAAGAGAGCGGTAGAGACAAATAGCTGGAGTAGTAAATGAATGGTAGAATAGAGGAAAAACACATTAAATAAAGGTTTCAAAGACAACACTGATGAAAAAATGAAAAAAAAAATAAACAAGATGAATAAACAGCCTAACTACAAGTTATTTTTGGGATAATGAACTAAATCTACTCACCCTGGGTTTACGACTAAGGCTTCGTCGCAGCTTACACATGTGCAGTAAATTTCTAAGTTCAGCTGATTTCCAGAAATCAGGCATCATTTTTTTTTTGAAAGATTTGACTTGTGTGGTAAACGGTAGTCGTTTATTTTATACCAATATGTTGTAGGAAACGGATTGTTAAAGAAAGTTCAGCCCTACGACTGGCTTTCGCAGGTTTGAGACATCCCTCATCATTAACAATCTTTCCAGCATCAAGCATCCTCTATTAAAAACGCCTTTTCAGTTACTTATCATATTCAGACCATGATAATCGTCATGGTGCCTGGGTTTCCTGTGGTTGCTGACTTTGAGGAACTTTCAATGATAGCATACACATAATCTTCCTTCCTTTCTAAAGCTACCGCTGAACAACTTTGGATTACGCTCCTTGGAAAAAAGGGCAAAAGGGGATAAAATATCCCTCACTATTTTCATGTTTTGAGTACTAAAATGGTACAAAGAGAGAAAAATAGCTGAATTTGCAGATAAACCGTAATTAAGCTGCAAAAATGCAAATCTGTCGCTTGGCGAAGGTCGCCGTTTTACCGGTGCGCCCACTGTATTCCGCGCGCTCTCGTAGTTTGTCCTCGCTAAGTTTCGTATCAAGACTGTTTGGAGTATCCGTCAGTGAACCGAAGCCAAAGAGAATCGCGAGTCATCAGACTGTCCACGGGGTCGAACTTGAAGATGATTTTTCCTGGCTTAAAAATCGTGGATCCAAGGTAAGCAAAGGGTTGATTATCTTTTTTGACCAATATCTCATTTCTCCTTACTTAGTCAATAGCCGTGTCATGAGAACTCAAAGCATGATCATTGGTTTGATCAGCCTTGATTTTCTAGTTAGTTTGAGTAGCTAATTAATACAAGAGAGACGTTTTTTTTCTGAATGGTGTTCTGAACGTCAATTTCTTAAAAGAGAAAACATAACAACATCAATGCCTCATGGTGGATGTTGTTTTTCTGATGAATAGTGATGTAAAAACACTGAATTTCTGTAGTCCTACTATTGAAAAGGTTCTTTTACAGCTACACCACATAAGTGGGGGAAGGAAAGTGTGTGCGTGTGTGTGGTGATGGGGAGCAGATGTTAAAAGGAATTATATTCCTAGATTCTGTTAAAGGAGGTTAATTAAACTGTCATGAAAAACAGCAAGAGGGAAATATTACTGTAATGGGATTAAGTACATTTTTTATATATGAGGTAAAGTTTACAAGTCGATAAACTGATTTGTTATATTAAAGACAAAAAGAGGTTTCCTATTTACCAAAAAGAGGAAGCAGTAATTGTGGTAGATACTAGATAACTGGTCATTTGTTGCTAATTTCAGGCTGTACGGAATTACATAAAAGCAGAAAACAGGTAGATTTTTTTCCAATTGATCAACTGTAATTTTGTACGGATTTCATGATATAAGTTGTGAAATTGAAAAAGATTATATTGTTGTTGTTGTTGTTCTTTTATGAGTTTACTATCTTGCTTTCTTTCACAGCTATGCAGAAGCTGTTCTGGCTGACACAGAAAGCTTCCAAGAAAAGCTGACCAAGGAAATGAATGATTGGCTTGAAAAGCACTGTGATGATGAATCAGTGCCTGAAGTAAGTTGTTTCCTTAGACAAGGGACTTTACTCCACTTTGTCTCTCTTCACCCAGGTGTATCATAAATGGGTACCAGCAACATACTGCTGGGGGGGGTAATCCTGTGATGGACTAGCATCCCATCCAGCGGGGAGTAGCAATACTCCTAGGCATGCTTCAGTGCTTCATGCTATGGAAACTGGTATAAGCTCTGGCCGTTTGGGCCTTTGGCTCATGTGTGCCCTTATCCTTTACCTTTGTCTTCATTTCTTGTTTTCATTTGCAGGAGCTAGATGGATATATTTATTATTTAAGCAATCCACCTAAAGGATCTTATCTTCCTGTATATTGTAGAAGAAAAATATTAGAAGGTGAGTGAAATGCTCTCTCTTATAAGCCAACAGTATAACCAGTAAACATGCTTAATAACCAAGGCAGCTGCATCCATAAGAATTATACAACTGAAATGGCTTTGTTTTATAATTTTTTTAAATGATGTTGTATCACTGTAACAAAATAACAAAATGATGTTTCCAGCTTTCCTCAAAGAAAGAATTAGAGGATCATATTTCTTTAACTGGACCACTTCTAATACAATGCAGTATGACTTGACAAAAATATTATAGGGAATCTAAGACGGATTGTGTAGTTCCAAAAACAAAAAAACATTTAATTGTGTGAGTGATTCATGAAAAGGTATTTTGAAATGCCATGTAAAACAGGGCTTCTGATGTAATGTGATCTCAATTTAAGTCTGATCATGAATACTCCATAAGAATTAATCTTAGGAATGATCCCTGATCTGGACAAAATGACAAACCTAACTGCTGCTTAAGGCTATTTAGCACTAGATGGATGTGACCCCTCCCCTCTTGAAAAATATTTTCTATTTACTATTAGCTTTTGGGCCCTAAGGAAAACTGTTTAATTTATCTGTATGACACCTCAGTGTTTTTGTTGTTGTTGTCTATAATTACTATATATTTGTTTTAAATGGAACCCCTATTTTCTGCAGATGGTTCCTACGGCGAACAAGAAATAATCCTAAATCAAAATGAGCTCATAGAGCGATATCCTCATGTGTCCATTCCTGTCATTAAGATGTCTCCCTCAAGAAGGGTATGGTGCTGTTAATAAATTTCACTGGTACTTAAATGATAAACCTGGTTGATGTATTTGTTATCTGTTTTTGTGTACTTTTTTACCTTGACTGTTCATACCTCACTATAATATTCCACCATGATGGACTAAATGACCATCAGAAACACTCTGTCATTGAACTGAACTCAGCTAGTTCTCTGATTTAAGATTCTGCAAAAAGTTGTGGAAAGATTAATAAATGGTTCACACTTTTGTACACATGGAGAGCCTAAGTACAGATAGACAGTGGACCAAGCTAATGCAAGTTTATTTTGTTACTCTTAATTTTAAATCTGTAGACAACATTCTATAGGATTCGCTTTAAATTAAATAACATACACTGTAGCATTACAGTATTTATATTTTGAATATTTTGGATTTTACAAAAGCTTTAACCGTATTTTTTGTGGCCATGGGAGTTTAAGGAATACTCAAAGCACAGGTGCAAGATCCAGCAATACAGCAGCAGGTCAAACTTGTAATGCCAATAAAGTGCTTTTTCACTGCAAGGGCTTGGTGGGTCCTGACAGCGAATGCTACTTGAATTAAAAAAAAAATTATCCTGGTATATTTAAATCTTGAGTGAAAAATTCAATTAGTATTAGATTCTGGGAATAATTTCCCACCTACTCCTCCCTTAACCTACCATTTTGCCCCACTTACTGCATTGCAGTTGTAAGTGATAATATTGGCTATGGGAGGGGTAGCTAATTTCCCGAAATCTTATACTGATTCCCAAGTACAAACATGTAAATTCCCTTAAGTCATATTACACAACAAACAATCATTATATAGCCTAGATAGTAAAACAGATATTCAGCAGTCTTGTATTTTTGCATTTGTCTTCTACTTTTTTTTTCAGTACATCGCCTATCTGCTCGACAGAAAAGGTGATGGATCCCATTCCTGTTACATAAATGAAGCTTATGAAGGCCAGATGAATACTATAGATGTTATACATAATGTTGTAAATTTTGGTGAGTTCTCTTCCAACCGCCAATTTGTTAATTATCGGACAGTTGAAAGGGATATACTCATGTACAATCCCTTCCATTCTATAACATGGAAAACCTCTCTGTGGCGATGCGGGCACTTGGATACTTTTGAAAAATAGGTCAGTTTGCCCACCCCATATTACTATTATTGTTATACTTATTATTATTATTATTTTTATTTTTATTGTTATTATTATTATTATTATTATTATTATTATTATTATTATTATTATATGAAGAGAGCAGTGCTGCCAGATTGGGACGTTGGTTAACCTATTTGACAATATAGGGACTTAAATAAAGTTTTTACTAATTTGCACGGTGTCACCCATTATTCATCTTTTCCTTTGGTGTCCAAATTGGAGAAGTTGTCCTTTTAACTATATTGAGCATCCTTTCGTCATACGATTCGTTGACGTCTTCTTCATTTTTAGAATGGGGAAGCAATGATCTCAGCCTTTACTATACCAGGCCTGATGGCATGAAACGACCTTATGCTCTTTTGAGACATGAGACTTGTAAAAGTATATTTCAGGACACCGTCCTGCATGAAGAAAAGGATGAAAGGTATTCTTTACAATTTGAACTTGCAATGTGATTCTCAAAATTTTTATTTAGTTATCTTCTAAACCTCTCTGATCGAGGCAAAAAATGGGTTGTTAGTTTAACACAACATAACGTAAGGTAACGTAACTTAGCTTAACAAAGTTTTTACATAACGTTGCGCTATGTGACGTGACGTAACAACATCAAGTAGAGGTATTCTTTACAAAATGAGCTTGTAATGTAATAACCGTGGCAGGATTAGCTTAATCGGTAGGGCGCTTGACTGCAGGGTGGGAGGTCACGGGGTGGATTCCCCGGGGGGGGGGGGCAGATCAACACTCAAGGTCTTAGTGAGAAATAAAGGTACTTTCTTTGACCTGTGAGCGGCTGGACCATCGAGTGGCTTTGATGACCACGTCGAATGGCGAATGGAGAAGTCGAAATAGTGTCCCCAGTCAGTACTTTCGTGCTAAATACATTGACACTTAAATAAAGTGGTTTTATTTTGTTTTTTGCTTTGTTTGTTTGTTTGTTTTTTTAAATTGACTTGCAATGTGAAATTTCAGTTATGTCATCTTGTAGGTACATAGTAGATGTCAGTGCTACTAAAGACAGAAAATTTATTACCATAAACTGTAATTCAAGATCCACCTCAGAAGTATGTACCTTAGATAATGAGATCTTAAAATCCCAACAGAACGACAACTTTGTTGGGGTCAGTTTGTTAAAGCGTGGGTAACTTGCTAGCAAGCTCTCTGGGGCGCTGTGGCGGCAAGGCGGGAAAAAGAAGGAGAGGTTGCATCTACGTCTGTGGAATTTGAATTCCACCTCCAATTCCCCTGTGGCTCCCCTGCGACTGAGCTGTCAGGTTGCCGCCAATCAGCACGAAGCGGAAACGAGCACAAATGTAAACAAACATTGAAAAACTGACACGCGCCAAGGGTAATGACGTCATTACAAATTATATCATCTCCGCCAATCGGTATTTCTCATCGACGTTTCCATGCAGATATTCAAATTCCAGAGACGTAGTTGCAAGCTCTCCTTCCTTTTCCGGCCCCGCCGCCAGAGCGCCCCGGAGAGCTTGCTCAGGGGGCGTGGGTTGTTTCACAAGCTTGATATTTTTCGAAATAAAGAGAGAGATTTGTATATTTGACGTCATTAATATGACCTGCGGCCGCTTAGTACCGACACGCCATTAAACCGGCTGTGTCACGGTTGTCTCGTTCATTTTGTTAATATTGCCAATTACACTTCCTTATGCGTATGAAACTTAACGTTAACGTAGAAATTACTTGTAAAGGATAAAGCACAGCTTCTTGTCCAAATATACTTGGCAAGCACTATATCAAGCGTCACGAAACAACCAAAGTGAACTGATCGGCTACGAAGCTTTCAAAAACCCACAATTCCAATCCGTTTTAATCTTCTTCAAGTTTGTCCATCCATGCGTACTTTTGTATTTACCGTCTTATTAATAACTTTTTATTAATATTTTAATTTATACTATTGATTGGTTATTTTTATGTTTCACTCATTTGCTGGCAGTTCCTTCTGTCAGAATTTTGATAAAATCTGTGACACAGCTCCTTTAATATGGACAATGTTCATGTGATGGTACACTGCAGCTCAAGTGTTTGCATTGGTGGGTTCCTTTTGTTTAACAGGTCAGCATCGCTGACATTAGAGATGGATCTCTTGTTTCACGTCCTCTTCATCCCAGACAGCAGGGAATGGAATATTACGTAGACCATAGAGGAAATCAGTTCTACATCATAACTAATGCTGATGGCAAAAACTATAAGGTACATAAAGATTTTGTTTTCGTTACCTTTTGTTCGTTTATCACTACAAGAAATGATTTGAATTCAGACTGGGAGGGGACACAAAAGTGGTACACAAAAGTGAAAAATCCTCTTCGAGCCCCATTATGAAGTGGGCGTGTTTCCCACCGCACGTCGCATGTCGCCAAACGAGATTTTTAGCGTGCTGGCGTGTTGCAGCCGGTCTTACTGATTGATACAATTATGAAACTACGTTACGGCCCAGCGAGTGGATGTACTCTCTGCGTTTTTACTCCGTAACAACAATATTTATTACTCAATCAATTCTTTGAACTTGAGAAAAGGACGCTCTTAGTTTCGCTTGTATCTTTGGTGAGTAGTCATGACGAGATACCCTTTGAAAATGAATCATAGTTATTTTTGTTAAATGTTCTGTTTTATATTGCACTTTTTCTCGAACATCTAGATAGTGACGGCGCCTGAAGAAGATCCTAGAAAAGAAAACTGGAAAACGTTTATTGAAGATAAACGAGAAGTGAGTGGGCAAAGCTATGAAGAGCTGTTACGACGTTGAATACTATATAGGTGATGTTACAAGGGAGGATTCGTAACAACGATTTTTAGCGCCACACAGCGTTGCCACATTGTTGCGACATTGTTTCACATGGCTGCAACATTGTTCCAATATTGCAACGATTTGTTGCGCAAAAAATCCTCTTTGCGAATGCTCCCGTGTAAAATCACCTTAATAATAGTTTGTAGCCAGAATCAACAATTTTTCTCTCTCGGTTCCTATGTAGAAATTGAGAAACCCAGTTCATGCCTGGAAAACTAGTCAATATTTCATTCGGCATTTTGTCATCCCTGTTTCAAGCACTGCAGAATACTGGGTTAAATTCCTGCCGTTATTGTATCGGGTTTGATCTGGTTTTGTTGTTTTAGGGAACACCTTGTCCTTCTTCCGTCAGACGTCGTGATAGTGTGATGGTGTTATTTTTCTTGCATACGTTCTATCGTCTGAAGCGGACGGACAGAACGCTTTTGTCAGTCCAAACTCAGTCAGACGAACTTGATCTGACACATGTCCAACCAATCATAAACTTAACTCACTCAGAGTAGAATCGTTGCATGAAAATTTTTTGGACTTTTGGGCGTTTGCGTGAGGTGTTGTTAACGGTACGAATGTACAATAGGTTATCTGTTCAGATGTGGCAAAGGTTTTTTTGTTTGTTAAAAAAAAAAAAAAAAAGGCTTGTTTATAGTGGAAATTGCACTTAGCTTGTCCAGCTAATTTACAGGCACTCCACTCAAATATTTAGAAACAAATAATTCAAATACAACATAACAGGATTAAAAACCCCAACAGGCAGAAGGCGACCAGTTGGCTATTTACAAGCGTGGTCGAGAATTTGAACTCGGGACGACCGAGCACAAATCCAGCAAGAGGCCAGAGCGGGACTCGAACCCGGGACCGCCGGATTGCGATTCCGACGCGCTGACCACTCGGCCACGCTGCCTCGTTGTTTGCTTGTTTGCTTGTTTGTTTTTTTATGTGGTGCTGTTTTGTTTTGAGTTTTAATCAAGCTGCAAATTACATATCTTTTCAGATATATTTTGATGACATGGACATATTTAAAAACTACTGCGTTGTTTACGAGCGACACAGAACTGTTCCTCAGATTCGTGTTGTACCGATGGACACACCCCAGGATCAGTATGTTGTACATGTAAGGCTACAACCTTCAATCCAGTTTTTCTTTTACCTTTGATTCATTTTCTGAATAGCAATAATAAAAAATTATTAAATGAGGCTGAGTGTCATGTGAAGAATTATGGAGATCGAGAATAGCACCCTCTTGGATAATACCAAAGAGATAAGAGATGCTATGCTCGCCGATCAGGTCGTGTGGAAAGGTATTTTTAGGACGGTTCGGGATGATTCCCGGCCTAAGCAAATAATTAAGTATGTTCCATTTGAGCAGCTTTCTCATCATAAGCCTAATCCAGTAAGCCTGTTCTAACACGAAGGTTTCTTATTAATTAATTTTATTTTGCAGCTTCCTGAAGATGTTTGTGTTTTAGAGGCTGGATCTAATCTGGTAACGTACCTTTAAGTGTTCTTGTGTTAAATACAGTAACAAACTGGGCAAAAGCCTACAGAGCATGCTTATACTCGTTTGTCTTTTGACCGATGCAAAAGTTGTTGTTGTTCTTTCCCGCCAGATGTTTGATCATAACAAAGTTCGTGTGACAGTTTCGTCACCAATATCACCTTCCCGTGTTCTAGAGTACAACATGGACACAAAATCAATGGTATGTTGTATGCGTCGAATTCACTAATACTTAAAAATGTCTACGTATGCGTGTAAAAGGACGTAGATGTTAGGAAGAGTGCTTTTCACTTCTTTACCAAAGCCAAAAATGAAAGTAGTTTCTTTGCACTGACTCGCATAAAAGAGTGTCGATGCTGTTGTTCAATTTTATCCTTAAATCAAATTTTATTTAATTTTTTTTTTATTGGATTGAACAAAGCGAAATAAAGTTGAACCAAATTGATTCGACTGTTACTGTTTTTTGGACTTTTTTTTTGTTTTTAGGATAGTGGCATGCTATAATTTGGTCACCCCCAAATTTAACCTACTGTAGTGAAATATAAAGTGATTGTTATTTTTAACTTTCAAACTGCAATCTAACAGCATGATTTTAAAACTTTCCGCAGGCTGAAAAACACGCCTTTACTAAGAAGCCTTCTTTTGACAGTTCTGATTTTTGCTGCACTAGACATGAAATTCAAAGTAAGGTAAGGCGGTCATACGTCTGATATGAGTTTCATTTTGTTTGTTTTTGTTTGTTTGTTTGCTCGTTTGTTTTTTTTTTTTTCTTATGCTGTTACAGTACATTTAAGGACAAAGCAAACTCTAATTCTCTCTCGAGCCGCATTCAGTTACACAATCAAGTACGTGTAAATGGGGCAACTTAGCGAGGAATACACAAGTACAAAGAAAAGATTTTTTTTTTTTTTCTTTTTTTTGTAGAGGAAGAACGTGTGAAGCAAAACTTTCCCATAAGAATGCGGTAGTAACGGTCACGTCGCTAAAACATACACGGGTTTTTTTTCTTTAACCAGGATGGAACCTACATTCCCGTCACTTTATTTCACCACAAAGATCTTAAAACTGATGGGAACAACCCGATGCTGCTTCATGTCTATGGTATGACGGAACTTTATTCACCTCCGCTTGTGCTGAAAAAACTGTGAGGGTCTTCTTTACATTTAATTATTCATCCTGCAGCGCTATTATATGAATTTCGTGTGTTCATTATTTCATCGTTATTCTTTTAAGTTTTTACAACGAACGTACTAAATGACCAGCTCTCGCTTGGCTTACATAGCTCAAGTGGTAGGGCTCTCTTTCAGCTTTCGCGTTTGATGGGCGTTTTCTTTCATCATTTCATTTCTTTTCATTTATTTTCTCGCATTCCAATATGAATAATACACGATAAATCACAGACAAACGTTAGTGCTTCTGTCAAAAAAAGTTTACAATAAGTGATAAACTACAGTTAAGATCATCTCATATAAATAATACTTGATTGTCACAAAAAGAGGATGATAGTCCTTGCCTTTTTCTCATAGGCTCTTATGGAATTAATGTGCACATGGGTTTTGAAGTGGAAAGGCTCAGTCTGTTAAAGCGTGGTTGGTGTCTTGCCTACTGCCATGTCAGGTGATGATATGCAGTTTTTTCATAATGATCTATAGTTCCAAGTTTTGATCCTTGAGATCGTGTTGAAAATTGAAGAAAAATTATTTAGTTTAAGTGAAAGAAAAACGCGTCTAAACTTAATTGAAGTCTTGCTTGTATGTATTATGGTATGAAACTTCTTTAAATGTCCTGTTTTGTTCAGAGGTGGCGGCGAACTTGGTCGAGAGTGGTACTTAGAAGGGAAACTGCAGAATAAACATAAAAGTTTTGAGGTACGGCTGTGTTTGCTCGGTCTTTCTTTGCACCGAAACCAAACAGAAACCCTTTCTACGCAGGCTAGAGTTTGTTATGGCCCTTGTAGTTCTTCTACGTCCTACACAAGTCAAATAATAGGAGAAATACTGTGAGTCGGTTTTTATCCTTATCCGAGAATGTCCAACCATTTGCAGATATGAAACAAAGGCAGCACATTCATGAACCTAACCGTCCTACGATTAGACGTTCTTCCCTCGTTGTAAAAGCAGGACTCAAAATAAATCTGGGACTGCTGCCGGTCGTGTTGACCGGCCAGAGAAATGTTAGCGTCCTCGGTCATGTCTCCCTTTTGAGCGCTCAAAAGCCTATCATGAAAAAAACATAAACTGAAAAAAAAAACAATGCTTGTCCTTTTCAAACGTACAGCTTAGTGCAGAGGGACGCAACAACTCCCAACATTGTTGGCCCAACAAAAGTTTGACCGGTTTCAAACTTTGCACAACAACTCGCAATAACACGCAACAACATGCAACAATATGCAACATGGTGTGCAAACGGACTCAACATGTAACATCCAACAATGTTTGGAGTTGTTGGCCAACAAAGCTGTGCGTCCGTTTGCACGGGTCTCAATGGTATTATTATTTTGTTGTTGTTGTTTTTGCGTGTCGCTTGTTCATGTGTTCATTCAAAATGACCGGCAAACCACAAGTTTGTCCAGAGAAATGTTTATGTTACAAGTCAATTCAATTCATTTTAAAGTTATTCAACCCAGGTTGATTCTCAATTTTCCTTGTCTCCTAGCCCTAACTATTCATAAAATTATGGCTAAGAGACAAAGGAAATTCAGAATCAACCTTTGGTTTAAGAATTTTAACCTGAATTTAATTTTGACCTGTAACGTATTTTATCTTGGCCGTTGACCGGCCGTTAAAGTTTGAGGCAGTATGATCTGTATGGCTTATAGCAGGCTATTTATCGAATGGGGTATCTTCATCTAATGACACTACGAAATGATTTATTTACTCGTACTTTTATTTCCAAAGGATTTTGAGGCTTGTACACAAGCTCTTCATCGTCTGGGATATTCCACCCCTGAATTAACAGCTGCAAGTGGTACAAGCGCTGGCGGATTGATTGTAGGAGCTGTTTGCAATAGATCGCCGGGACTTTTTAAGGCAGTTATTCTGAAGGTAGGGTATGCTATAGGAGCGGGATTGTGGGATAAGGACCCACAGGGAATGTGGGATCGGGAATGAGGGACTGTAAGATCAGGACCCCTCCCCCCCCCCCGCCCTCCCCTAGATCCCCCCAGATCATGTTACCAATAGTATAGATTGACCGGAAAGTGGCAGCCATGAATGGAAAGCTGTTTAATCTTAATTATCGTGAATCCTCTATTAAGCCCCCCTCTCAAATAAGCCCCCTCCCACTAATAAGCTCCCCCCCCGCCCTTTTCGGTGGAAGAAAGTTAATAAGCCCTCCTCTCTAATATGCCCCCTCTCCTCCCCTAAATATTCTTCACTAATAAATGATATACCGTATTAATCAATCATGACTGTAAAACTTCGTATGGACTGATCTAGGATGGTTTGTTTGACAAGTGAAAGTTCGGATTTGATTCTGATCCTCAACTGCATGACCTCCAACCTTCTTGCACTTGAGCTTTTCCACATTGTATTCTGGTTTTTTATGGAGAACTGTTACCATCGTCTTTTCTAAATTAAATAAGCTCCCGTCTGCATTAAATAATTTAACTGTGTACCCTCGGTAACAATGCGGATCAGTAAACTTCTGTGACACTTCCATTGCCGTTTGAAAATATGACATTGTTGTTTCGCTTTGTACAGGTTCCATTTTTAGACATTTTGACTTCCATGTTGGACCCGTCTCTTCCGCTAACTGTTCAGGAATATGAAGAGTGGGGGGAGCCTGGGTAAGAACTGTTTACACTTCAAAACGACGCAGTGTTCAGAGGTTAAGAATGATGGGAACGCGAGCTGTTGTTTTTGTGTTTTTGTTGGTTTTGTTTCTTGTCTAATCACGAGGTAATCACCATGGCAACACCAACGGGAACGTTAAAAAGCGATACTTCATTTCAATATTTTGAGAGATCTTAAGATGAATAGAAAAGTTTGCAATCCATTTAGGTTTCTGGAAAACTGCCCTCCCACCCCTCCCCTAAGCCAACGTTTTCCCCTTAGTGTGAAGTAAGAGTTAATGTTGGCTTAGGGGAGGAGTAGGTGGGCATTTCTCAGAAACCGAAATTGACCTCTATATCCCAGTCCAAGAAGGGGAAATGGGAAAGGAAGAATCAAATCTACCTATTTATGTTTTTTGTTCTTTGTAGGTCTAATGAGAGCGACTTTCACTACATTAAGTCCTACTGCCCGTACCAGAATATAAGAGACAAGGTATGGTTCTCCCTAGTATTTCTCTTTTTTTGGCTTTCTTGACACGCGAGAGGGGGCACTCCTTTGAAAGTGGAGTATTACCTGAAATTTACTATGGGGGTGTGTCGCTGAGTCCTCGAGACTCTGGACCTGTTGCAGACACAAAGAGACGAATTGGAATCCTGTTCCTGAAACCAGCTCAGGGACAAATCGAAGAGTGGGGGGTACCAAAGCTTGATTGAGAATAATCAGGCATTATGGTGAAAATCGACCCTCATATATATTCCTCTTCCAGAGAGAAAGGGTTATTTTTATACCCTGCTCCAGAGTCAGAGAGGCAATAAGCATAAAAATACAGATTTAAACGTTAATGTTTAAGTAGTACAAAAAGTTAGTGTGATGTGATTTTAGGAGGCAGCGTGACCGAGTGGTTAGAGCGCTGGACTTGCAATTTGGAGGCACCGAGTTCAAGTCCCACTCTAACCGCTAGCTGGATTTGTTCTCTGTAGTCCCAAGTTCAAATCCTCGACCACGCTTGTAAATAGCCAGCTGGTATGCCTCCGGCCAACTGGGACTCTTAACCCTGCTAAATTTGATTTAGATTATTTGCTTCAGGCATTTGCTGGGCCCCACTAGCATTAGTGCTATAAATACTGCCGAGGATAAATAACGGAATTATTATTATGTCTAATCGACTTTACCGACGTAATAGAATGTAGATGTAGATGTAGGGTCACAGGAAGTGTTAAACAACTCGTGACGGCGAATTAAACTTGACACATAACTTGGTTACTGAACATTGTTGTTACAGCGCTATCCTGCTGTGATGGTTGGTTCTTCAATGAATGATGACCGGGTGCCTTATTGGCTGCCTCTTAAGTGGGTGGCGCGTCTCCGAGATCAGTTGTCGAGACAGGAGCAGTCGGATAAGCCTTTAGTTGTGTGCAATGTGGATTATTATGCGGGACATTTTGGAGAAGAAGGCACATACCGGAGGTTTGAACAGGTACACGAGCTCATCAGTTGTAAGGCAGTTACATATTTCGTTTAAGCGGCAGAGAATGTTGTGAGGCATTCATGCCTCATCTTATTTGTATCCTAAGAATATACCAACTGGGAAGGATTAACATGAACATGTGTGATTGATCGGCCAACATTCTGCCAGACAGTCAGAAACTGACTGACTGACTGACTGACTGACCAACTAAAGGAATGACCGACTGACTGACTTGACTGATTGACTGGCAACCGGCTGATTGACTTAGCAGGCGGAAAGATTTACTCAATAATTATAACTGACTTTTTCTTTTGTTTTTCTTTTGACTGACCGACTGCCTGACTGACTGACCTCCCGACTGGCCACCTAACGACGTATCGAGTGACAGCAACGTTCCTGGGCTTCGGGCATCTGGCGCAATATTGCGCGCAATTGCAAATTTGCATTGCGTGTACCCCTTAAAGTCTTTGCGTAAGTTGTGCTTAATATTTCAAAAGAAAAAGACATGTCTTACTTCTGGCCTATTACACGCATCAAATTTGACTTTGTCCCTATCTTTTGAAACATTGCGTGAAATTATGCGACGTGCTTCCAATTAAGCTGTATATTCAATTAGACCGCTGAATCGAAACGTTGCTTGTCGCTTGCTTGGTAACCGCTCAGCAAATCTTGAGTGAATTATGGCTGTGTGTGGCTATGCTTTTTGGTGGGTGTAACGAGAAGAGTGGGTATCTTCAGGTAAAATACCTTTTTATGGAGTTGCGCATAGCAATAACAGCTGCGAAGACGAACGTTTAAAATTACTGGTCTTTTATTGGGAACTGCAATTTGTTTTTTAGCTTTAAAAAAGGAGGAAATGTCTGATTAATTCAAATAAAACATATCCATCTGAAGTTGTCTCTGATACATATTATCTTTTGTGATGTGAAGTATTTCTCGTAAACGTTTGTTTCTTGCTTGTTAGGCGGCAAAAGAGTATGCTTTTCTACATAAGGCCCTGGGACTTCCACTGGAGTAGACAAGAGGGAAAAAGGGGCGAAGAACATTTTCATAGACACGGGTGTCAGAGGAGTGAACTGCTTCTGTCGGTTTGTGGAAAGCGAAGGACTGAGCTGAAACTAAGGAAGTAATATTATAACAGTTGCCGACAAGAGCCTGCGAACGTGCTAGCGCTATAAAGGCCCACGAGTTAAAAATCTTTTAGCCATTGCTACGACACGATTCACGATACTTATCTCTTCCACGGAATTGAATAGTAAAATTACCAAATACATTTCAAGAAGGTGTGGCTCTCCCATGATATGAGCATTTTTCAATCAGGCTTAAAACCTCACTTAACTTTGTCATCATTCAGTTTTTAAATGTTCTAGGCAAGCTTTTCTAAGCACGTTTGACAAACGTAGCAGTGTCATTAGGATGCAAGGGTGACCCCCTCATCACGAGAAACGTGACTTGAGTTTCTTCTTCTTGTAATCCTTTTACTCTGTATACCTAACAACCTTTAAACAGTCACGTTGTAAACGCTATAGGCCATGTTTTATTGAAGTCGATCTTAACTGAAAATCAATTATCGCTGTAGGCTAAGGAAAAAGTAAGAAATGTCTAATTAACACAAATTCCAAAAGTACTTTTAATATGACTTAGACACTAAGACCCGCAATCCTTATATAATGAGAACACTCGCTGCGTGCTCAAAAGAAGTGCTCCATCATGGCTCAGGTGAAAAGGAATTTTGGTCAAACTTCTTATCAAAAGCTAGCTTATAGAGGGTTTTCACTCACGTAGTTAGCATCTATGCAAATATATTGCAACAAAAGAAAGCGTTTGCATCAGAAAAGAGTTCAGCTCCCACAGGATTGGTCTGGGACACCAACATGGCCGCCGTGACAAAACATGTCAAAACACTCTATTGAATGTCTCGTAACTCTCTAAACATTGGTCAACCCTCGCTGCACCTCTGGTGGGAGCAGTCTATTCCACTGGATTCCTAAAAGATCTACTCTTGCAAAATCTGATGAGTATTTTGTTGCCCTAGCACAACTGTAAATAAAGACAACAAATGGATTCCTTGCACCTCGTAGTTTGCCTCATGAATGCATTTTTACCTTACACCACCACCATGCTCAACATTGCTCATCGTCGTTGTATAAGAATTTAAAAACGTTGCTGCTAAGCCTGGCCGTTTCTGATATTGGTGTTGGATTACTAGCTCAGCCATCGTATGTTGTGCGTCTAATAATGGTGTATGTTGTGCGTCTAGTAATGGAATCGAAGCAAAGCAATGTAACTGATACGAATTATATTGTTATCTATACCTCCTTTTTTAACGACAAATTTATTTGCTTTCGCTTACCCCGTTGCTAATTGTTGTCTTGTGTGCAGAAAGATTCGCGGCTGTTCATTTTTACCTCAGATACCGGACGCTTGTGGCACGCAAACGCATTGTAGCTGTAGTCATCTCAATTTGTTTTTTAAGCGTTCTTTTCTCACTGATAAGGTTCGGGATGCCAACCAGTATAATTATTTATTTGGTATTTAGAGGTAGTCATTTTGCTTGTATCATAGCTGGCACTTTTTTCAGCGTCAAAATATACATGTCCGTACGAAACCATGTAAACGAACTTCAAGTGCTGTTTCTAGGTGGTTTAACCGGTTAGACTTGTTATTCAGTTATTTTTTAAGTCGATCAATGGTAGGTTTTGGATTAGTTGACTAAAACTACGAAAAGTGTTCATTGGTTGGTGTCAAAGGAATAAGCGCCAATTCCCCTGTGACTTGAAATCACTTAGCCGAAACGTATTCATTCAAGTTTTATTTCCTGCCGCTTTCATTGTCCATAGGCCATTTTCACGATGACGACATTTGACCCCAACTACCAGAATTCATTTCGTTTTTGCTTTCTTATTTAAATTTGTCAGTCCCGCTGAGGTTTAAAAAAGTGTTAATTATGACTGGTCAATGGTATCCAAGGCAACTATTAACCAATCATAACTAACGCTTGTCCACTCAAGCGATCCCAGAAACCGTTGCGCCAGAAGCTAGTACTCATTCCTCTTATAGTTTCTGGAGTTGAGATTTCGTGTGTCGTCTAGGGGAGGCATGTGAAAACGCTCCATAAAACATTCGGATTACTCTTTCGGGGAAGAACTCTTCGCCAAAACACATGTCAACAAACCCCTGCTGATTCCGAATATTCTCCCTTTTTAAAGACCGAGCCTCATGAAATCAAACCGCTGCTAACAAAATCATGTCGAAACAGTCTACAGTACTTGTCAGTCAGGAAACAAAGCACATTCGCACCATATGGTTTTTATTTATACGCTTGCACAGCAGATTTTGAGAATCGCTTCTTATTTTTCTCGCGCTCGTTCCGTTCATACAGTCCGTAGGTAGAAAAGATAAGAATTATCCCGCTTAGTCATGCCCTAATGTTTACACCCCCGAGGCTAGGGGGAGTGGATATCGTAATAGCGGAGCTCCACCCGCGCGCGAAGCGCGCGAGTGGACGGAGCTCCATAGCTAAGGAAATGTGGTAATCTACCCATCCGAGAAAATTTGGTAATCACGTGACAGTACGCCCGACCGTCCGTCCGCACCACAGGGAAACCAATATTTTCTCTCACACTTTCTAGCTAGTTTGGGAGCCCAATAGAAAACTAATTGCACATCAATATTGTGATCAATTGACAGCTGTCAAAACAGGATATCCGCTGACCAGTGTCACCTGACCGTACCGCGGGCTCAAGTGTCGACCCATCGAGGTCGAGTACTTTTTTGAAGTTATCCGCTGACAAATTACCAGTTTCAAATGATCGCAGGCTCAAGTCTATTTTTCCCAATGATTCATATGAAATATGTCGTGTTTATGTCACTATGGCCCCGCACTGTCAAGATTTTGATTTCAAACTGACCTCGGACGCGAAAATTCAGCCACTTTTTTTAAAAATAAAGGCGGGGAAGACCTTTTCTTACCATGGTCACGCGTTGGTCACGCTCTACGTCCAATTTTTGTACTCTGATTGGTCAAAATTTGACAGGCGAGTTCATGCGGAAAATTTATGCAGCATCTTGAAAGTTGTTTAATTTGACAGCTAAAGCTGACAGAGTTTTGTGTCAACTTGTGATGTTTTTAACTGTCTTTTTCCACTGGATGTACAAAATGAAATACAGCTGCTATCAAGAGTCTTCTGTTATCCATGGCTGGTTTGTTTATTGGGTTTTTGGTTGAGAAATGCGTCGCTTGTCAAAATTGGGTAATCCGATTTCGGATGGGATCGTTTTCGTCTTTTACCTTGCTCAATGCGTAAGAGGGTTTAAAAGTCTCAAGCAACTATGGCCTTCCTTGATATCTTTCAGGAACTGAATCAAGAATGGTAAGCCTGAGTAATTATTGTATTTGATGTTTGTTTTTGTTATATGTAATTTCATGAAGTCGAGCACAGTTTATGCGGCAAGTTTTTGCACGTTTGTTAAGATTTGAGTCAATGATCGGATCTAGTATCAGGTTTGATATAAGCTTACAGAACTTTAAAAGGCCTTCAGATTTTTTTTTTTCACGGCAAATAGAAAAAAAACGTCCTGAAGAATATTTAGTTATAAATTTGGCTGTAGAAAGAAAACTTTGAGTGATTTTCTTGCTTCGAGGAGTTCATCTTTGAAAAAAAAGAAACAAACACCGGGAGGCCGGCTGAAAGTAAAACAAAATAAACTTAAGCTTAAGCTTTAAGCTTAAAGACTCAGGATTTTTAGAAACACTTTAATACTTGTCTTCGTGAATGAAAATTGTTGTCTCTGTAAATGTTTTACCGAATTATATTTCTTTTATTGATTGTTAGTAGTCTCTCTTGCAATTTTAATCGCTTGTACGTGGTGTTTGTTTTCATCGTTCATAAACATCGCTTGCAGGAGTACTTAGAAATGTCGCGCGTATCAAACGCTTTATAAGATTACACATCGTTATAACTGGAACCATTAAATAACAAAAAGTAATGATAATAAATTCGTTATTATGTTGAAGCGTATCTCCATTAAAGTTCATTCAAACACTCGACCACACTGACAGGGCGCACTAAAAATGAGAACCGGCTGGCCGTATGGGTGATTTTGGAAATTTTTTGAACGGTTTCCCTAAAAGCCCACGATTGATCGTTCTGGCCCCGGTTGTTCAAACGTTGGATAGCGCTATCCACCGGACAAATCACTATCCAGCGGATAAGTATTACAGAAATCAATTACGCTATCCGCTGGATAGTGATTTATCCGCTGGATAGCGCTATCCGACGTTTGAACAACCGGGGCCAGGACATTGAAAAATTGTGAAATGCCGTATTCTGTCCGAGGTCTGTATGATAAAAAGTACTGTTTCACCTCAGATGTGATGTATGAAAAGTATAAAAGGTTGGTTTACACACCCTCAGATTTGTTGGCAAGGATTTGTAAAGTAAACCTGTCGAACGCAAAAAAATGCGGCCTGATTTGTTTTCCAAGAATTTGTTTTCGAGGCCTAATCTACTGTGATCAAGAGCCATTATGGCTCTTGAATGTGATAGATGTTTGCTATTTTTTGGGTGTACATATATTTAGGCTATCAACTCGATGTAAGATGTTTCACTCTAAAATAACTTATCCTTTCCCTCAAAAGACACATGAATGTGCCCTTAAGTTAACTGATTTGTGGATTACAAGTTTATCGTTTGATTTAAAATATAAATTTATTAACGGGAGCTTCGCTTTTAGCCCTGGCTAAATCTATATATTATTTTAAATACATATGGTATACCCTTAACATGGTTAATGTTTGGCGTCAAGAAATAATAGTTAAAAAGGCAATGATTATTATCCCTAAGGTGCCGTTTTTATTATCTTCAGTTTTGTTTAATTACTTATAACTGTCACAGAGGCTGATCAGGATGATCGAGTTCCACCGAAAGCCATTTGTTAACTTTCCGTGTCAGTTGCCGCTGTCTCAGGGCCACGCCAACAAATAAGCTGGTAGAGTCAAGAGCAAACATTCGTTTTAATTGGTCTGCAAAAACGGCGAAGGAAACTATACCGAATGAATTCTTGTACATTCTTTTATAACTCCCCTCGGAGTAAATAACGCCATCTTTAGTCTTTTCTTAAACTTATTTTTTTGCTTTATTTTTTTAGTTTGTTTTTTCCACTCTTCACCCGGAAACAAATACAAACTAGTGAAAAATCAAAAATATTTAAAAAAGGCGTTTCGATTTCATCATGACGCCATTTCAAAGGTAATAACTAAGAATTTATATTCCGTATCTTTATTTTCCCATTTCTGCCATATCGTGAAGAACAATTTTTAAAGCTCAAAGTTCCTTCAACAAGCGAACTAAAGAAAAAACGATTTTCAATATCTCGGTTGCAGTAAGGTATCTTTTTGCTTGTCTAGTCTTAAGCTTCTTTATCATTTTTCATTTTTCGATGATTGATAAGCCTGATATCATTGAGGGTGTTTTCTACGTTGAAATTATCGCAATTTTTTCGGCAGCAGCTCGTAAATTAATTGCACACACGGGCTGACTATCAATTTCGGGTTCGTGATGGGTGCATATGTTATCATTCTATTGTTGGAAAGCCAATGCAAGTCATTTAAATGTAAATTGGAGTTCATTTCAGGGTTAATGTACTGTGTGAAATTTGAATTTTATAAACATCCGCTTAAATAATTGGAATGTTCCGCTTTCAATTCAGAGGATTCAAACTACGCTTTAAAACATCTAACAAGAGTTGCAGTATAGAAGCTGAGATTACGATCGTTCATATAAACCTCTTTATATTTCGTGCACTTCCCAGAGGTTATTTTCGTGCTCCAAAAGACAGGGTAACTTTCTAAACTCTGTCCTAGTTAGAACAAAAAAGCAACAAAACAAAACAAAACCAAACAAAAAAAATTATTTGAGTCTAAATGTACTTTAACCAGAGAGTTCTAATTATTGAGGACACTGTTTTTTATGGCATCTAATGGGGATAGGAGGCCTATTTTTGCATGATCATTCGAGCCACGCGAAGACTTAGCCATTTGTATGGCAGAGGCAGTACCTCTGCATTTAAGTGCTCTACCGAGTGAGCTAGTTCTTCCGCGGTGACCTTACATCTTTTTCGTTTTCTCAAAATTTTTACCAGCTTATGATTAATCCCTAGCTTCCGACTTTGATGCACATATTCATCGCCTACTGAAAGAATAGCAAACAAAATCCATAGCTGCATGGAGATGATAATTTATGGCAGTTTTTTATATTTATTTCTTTCCTAATAGGTTGACATTTAGCGGATTTTTGTTCAAGAATTTTTGCCTCATTAACATTGTTTCCCATAAACTCCAATCAAGCATTTATATATGAACACCTGATATTGAAAAACACATTTTAGAATAGGAGATATAACTCGTCAGTAAATTTGAAGCTGATTCAACTACATGTATATGTCCGTTAATAGTTTTTAAAGCGCTAATTTCCCACTCAAAATTAAATGTTTTTCTTGACGAATATTTCTTCAAATATGATCCGACTTTTCCCCAGCTAAACGTTTCGTGGATGACAACGTTTAATTATCTCTTTTAACTTCTAAAGTCAGTGCCTAAGCTGATATGCTAAAGAAGTACATGTAACAATGAATTTAAAAACTGAGGCCAGCAAAGTTTTCCCTTTCGTTCGCTAAAAAAGCGCTTTTCAGTCTCAGTTGGAAATAGCCAACATTTAATGCTGGGCTTTTATTCACTTCAAAGAGGGGCGTGAATGGTGAAAAAATGACATACACGAGGCGTTAAATTCTACTGACCAGTGTTTTTATTTAGTTGGGAAAAGCCCAATTAATGTTTAAATGTATTATTAAACAGCTTCTTGTTAACAACTTAAAAATTCAGCTTTTCAGTTCAAATGGCGTCATTTGTTCCAACACAGCGTATTTTCTTCGTTTTTAGTACACGGTTTAATCATCTTCTTGACAATTCAATGACCTTGCAGCTGCACAAATATCTCTTCTGGAACGAAGAAACTGCAAAACAAAGAGTAAAAAACAGATGTAATTTTTTCAACAAAAATGATAGCGTGGAAAGTGTTTTTTCATATCTGAAATAAAGCGTTCATTATAGACATGAAAACGCGCATTTTCTAAAAAACTGATCGACCTATAGATTTATTCTAAGATCCTTCTTTATCGAAGCATAAGTATTGCCGAAGACAAAATTACTTGTCCATGTTTACTTCATCGTTATGAATTAAAACAGAAGCATATATGGTTCTCATTAAAATTAACCCTTTAATTCCAACGCCAATCTTTAGTTGTGTGCGTGAGTACCGGCGTTTTTTTCCTCCTTTTGGCTATAATCATGTGTTTAGAAAAACGTCTCCTTAAGTACACCATTATGCCTAATAACGGACACAGACAAGACGCCTCCTAGCCTTTACGCTGCAAGGCCGACTAATAAACTGATTTGTAGCACAGTAGAAAAAGGAAAAAATGTTGTACAGAAAGTGTGTAACTATTTTATCGGAAAATCTTTGTCTTTGGAAAAATAAAGACACTAAGGAGCCATGACATCTCCAAACTAAGTTTTACAACGCAGCACCATAATGGGTAAACTGATAAAAAGCAACTAAATTTTTTACCATTGAATCCTTGAATATTTCTCGGCCACTTTTCCGACGTGGTCCCTGTACAGCGAATGCTTCTACATTTTGATAGCTGCCCAACAGCAAAATGGCTGAAAAAATAACACAAAAGTAAACCAGAGATGTCGAGAACTTCTTCATAGCGATAAACCGGCAACGGATATCAGCTCAGGTTCGCGTGATGGGTATTGTGGAAGAGTGATGAATTTTACTGTGAACGGACGCTTTTATAAGATTTTCTTAACTACGCCGGGAAACACTTATTCCTGACCACTAATGTTCCTAATTATTTGAAATAGAGGGCAGGAATTTGTTTTGTGACAAAACTGATCGCCTCGCTTGTGTCTTTAATTAATAGTTGTTTAGTCCTCGGGAGACAAAAAGGGCCGGCAGCAACTAAAAGCTTAAAACATTGGGCAAATTATCTCAGCTCAAACGGCAATGCCCGGAACGCAATTAAAAGCCATGACTGGTTTGCAAGAGGTTAATGGGCATTACGTTCTATTATTTAAACTCCAGACTTCAAAAAAGGAAAAATAACCACGATAAAAGGCTTTAACCGACAGATAAACGTCCGTATTTTGGTGTCTTAATAAAGAGAGCGACAATTTAGAACTTAAGTCTTACCACCCACTGGCGCCTTTAAAAGGTTATTCTCCCGTTTCAGCTGCGAAATTATACCCCGCTGGGGTACTTTCCATAATAGCGTAATTAAACGGGTACGGCACACCCGAAAGGGGTGCCTTTTTAAGGCATCAGGTATATAAAAGGGTAGGGATTTCGTTTGTTGAAGTATATGAAAGGGTAGGAAAGTCTGGCATATCGATCTGCAAAAATGCCCAAAGAATTGAGCTAACAGATACATTTTATGGCTTTGAAGAATTCGAGAAAACGTTCTGGTTTGCGATTTATTCACAATGTACAGACTTTGTATTACAGCAGTTAAAGTGGATGCAAATTTCTGAACTAGGTATGTGAAAGAGTTACCTTTCCTGTAAAAAACGATATAATATAAAACTGGGTAACGGGGATCGTCCTCTGGGCGGTCAGACAGAGCCTCCCCGTACAAAACTTCCTTGAGGTCCCCCAGGGAATTATATCCCTTTGATTTTCCGAATAGCAGGGGGGGAAGGGGGGGCTATAATGCTAGAATATGAATAACTAACCACCGACCTTTTATTCTACATTCACTGACTTGCTCAGATCTGTGGCAAGTTTTTCTTTAATTAATCTCAGACAAAACCAAGAACAAAAAAAATTGCATACACTTGATCAATATGGCCGGATCAGAGAGCGACCTTTTATTCTACATTCTCTGACTTGCTATCTGTGGCAAGTTTTCTTTAATTAATCTCAAACAAAAACAAAAACAAAAAAAAATTGCATACACTTGATCAATATGGCCGGATCAGCAAGGAGAAAACTGCAATGCTGATCGTACTACGTGAAAATTAACTCTGCAAGACATCAACACGACACCGAAAGAACTCAAAACAGAGCGGGATTTTAGTCATAGACAACTGTTTCGCCCTTTTGGGGGCTCGTCAGTATGGCGTAACAACCAGAGAAAGTTCTGATAAAAAATATCCGCGCACTCTGATTTAAGCCTTGCCCTAGAACTCTCAACAGCCACAGAATCACGCCATGCCAAGTGTCTTCTAGGGAGCAAACCTCCATTGAGCGGCCATGGTCCATGAAGCGGCCACAAGCGGTCGGAAGTTCCACTGCACTGTAACTTCAACTCCGCCTTCTTTGCAAGCAGTTTGTCAAGTCAAAAATTGAAAAGAAAAGTTTCAGGAAAAAAAACAAAAAAATGCAAATAAAAAGCGGTCTTAGTGTTACTGCAAGCAGCTGCTCCTGTGTTTTTCTATTTAACCGCAAATAAAACAGCAAAGTGATGTAATAACTTGTGACAATTGAAGACTCTGTGATGAGGGGGAAAGGCGTGAATTTCAGCGGAAGACATCAGGTAAGGGGATTTTTTCCGCTGCCCAACTGTTTTGCTCGACTTTGAACCCGAGAGCAACAATTGCAGGTGGTTTATTCTAAGCCCATTTGGTGGCTTACGTCACGATACGGTTTCTTCTCCACATAATTACCCCTCCCCCCCCCCCCCGGCTTGGTAAGCGATAAAGCCCTAATACGGGAATTAAAAAAGGTTTCTGCTAATTTGTTAGTCGCGTCCGGGGGTACTTCCCTTCATAATGAGCAGGATCGGTCAGAAAAATACAACGATAAATCCCCAAAAGATGCCATAACCTCGTTTTGTAATGTGACGCGAAGGTTTATTGGAATGGTAAATTCGAGTTTTGATAACTTTAGATAAGAAAGTAAATTCTAAAGACCAAAGCAATATTCTAAGCAACCTTTGCGTGACACAACTGACAATTTGTTTTCTTTTTAATGACTTAAACTCTGTCCTCTTTGTAAGCAGTTTGTTAAGTCCAAAATTGAAAAGAAAAGTTTCAAGAAAAATAAAACAAACAAATGAAAATACAAACGATCGTAAGTGTCAGTGCAAGCAGCTGCGCTTGTGTTTTTCTATTTAACCACAAATGAAACAGCAAGTTGAACGGTTATAATCATCATCATTATTATACCATTATGTGGTAGCCACAATAACACAGATATTGGAATTAATTATTCAGTGTCTTTTCTTTTGCACATTGTGAAAACCGTGTCACTTCGTCAGGAACTTATCAAACGTTATTGTAAAATTGTCTCACTTTGTAACAAATACATGTCGCTCGGAGAAATTGGGGGGCCTTCAATTTTTTTTGGATGGAATATGGGGGGGCCTTAAAATGCCAAAAGATGACCTTGGGGGGTCTTCAAGTTTCTTTTAAGTAGCATCCCTACTGAGCAGCATGATGTTTGAGTATTAAAAAAACTGATTTTGATTCAGTTTTACACAAAGTCCTATATTGTGTAATACTAAAACAATTTAATCAGCATTTTTACAAAGAGATTTAATGCTCAAATAGTAGGTGCATCAACACAACATCCATTATTGTGTAACACTGAAACAATTTCATCGGCATTTTAACAAATGATTACATGCATAAAGTCATGTTATGCAATCTCACTACCCGAATCATTATTTGTAGATGAGGTCGATGCGGACTCACCGTCTGTGTCACCGTCAAGTTCTTCGCTATTAGAGCATGTACTGCTCATATAAAAAGCAGTAAGCTTTGGCTGATTATCTTCTTTCTTCCTTGAAGCGGTCCTGTCGGCCTCTCACCTTTCGATGGCTTGTCTTATCTCAATTATAACACAATCACTGATATATCCTTGCTCTATAAGCTGTTTGAGAGGCTCTTGGTGAAATCTCTTCAGTTTAGTGTGAAGTGCTTCTCTGTTGTTAGTTGGCACATTCGGAAGTGACAGTGAGTAAGAACGGTAAAGTAAAGAAAATGTTATTTGTTATTATCATTTGGGTATTATGTATAAGAAAGGGGGCCCCTTAAATCTTTTAACATGATTGAAGGGGGGGTACCTAAAAAACATGGGTGCTATTAGTGGGGGTCTGGAAAAAATAGGGAATAAAAAACAATTTCTCCTCCCCCCCCCCCTCCAACTTAAATTATGACTGGTCCCTTATTCCCTAACCCCGGCCATCAAATAAAGCAAATCCCGGATCCCCATAAACCTATATATTAGTGACCCCCAAATTCATCTCCCTGATTCATCTCGTCCTCATATCATTTTCACTGAATCTAAATCTACTTTGGTGACGTTATATTTGTCTATCAATTGACTTCAAATTGTTAACACTCCAACACACTTCACTTCTTACTAGTCCCTGTAACTGCTAATTATAACACTTGTCGCACTTTGTCGCACATTTTTATAACCGCCATCGCTATTATTCCGTAATAAAGGTGGAAATAGAACTCCTTTGAGGGTGTCGGTAATAGTCAAGACTGTTGGCAAATGATAAACTTTTATCTGCAAAGAGTGAGTCGTTAAAGGTTAGTGGCGAACTTTATTACTAAATGGTGTCTCTTGACGAGGCGATGCCTGCTTTACAAGATGGCTATAAGTGGAAAGGATGTAGTGCTCAGATAAGAACTAAAGCTGATAATTTTGCTTTAGATCTTCACCTTGAGGGATCTTTCCCTTTTAAAAGCGTTCATGAGGGTCTGAATGGGGTTTAATGTTTGGTGTTATTTGCCCATAATTTTTAGTGTTTGCTGTTAAATTGGCCAATTAATGTTTACTGTTTCCGAAGAAAATACTCTTAAGGGTTTTGAGGGTTCTTCAGACATCTTCGGCAATGGTCGGACCTCTTCATTAGTCTTCGGAAATCTTCGATAGTCTTCGGGAATCTTCGGTAGCATTTGCAAATCTTCTGAAATGATCCGGAATTGTCGTAAAATGACCAAAAGCTCCTTGATATACTAAACAATAATAATAATAATTAATGCTAAACAATGATAATAATATTGGCCTTTTTTGAGCCGTTTTTGCTTCTTCTGAAAAAAATGTACTGATTCAAAGAATTTTTTACTATTAGTGTTAAAATGCCTAACATTTAGCTGTTTCAAGTCACAAAGTCAAAAAATGAAGTGATTAGTGTTATCGAGGTACCCCCATTCAGACCCTCCTTCATATTAGTACCGATAAAACCACCTAAAACGTCTACTGTCCAACTTTAGTATGAAATAGTTGAATGTCTAACAGGGACTTCAGCCCATTTATACTAAGGAGCTTCCAGAAGCATCTTGAAAACTAAGCTGTTGTTTGAACCGTGCGTTAGTAGCCTGATCGGTGGCATTTCCTCATTTCACGGACTTGAATCGTCTTCGCAGTTCAATGAACGCGCTACCTCACAAATGTCTCTTCTGGAACGAAGAACCTGAAGAAGAAGAAGAAGAACAAGAAGTAGTGAGAAAAATGATTTTCATCATAACTACGACAAAATTCTCAAATCTGATTGACTATGTTAGCAGCCCTGATTGCAGCAATATCGGACATAATGTGCTATCGAGCGCACGCTTGAATGTTTCTCGTAAAAGAACTTCCTGTTAAGTCTAATCAGTATGATCCTAGCAGACGGAATCAGAGGTTGTTACCTGTCGAGGCCGAAAGCCAAGGCGGATAAAACCCTCTTAGATATTACTACATATTATACTCAC